GAAAATATGTGGAAATACTTCATGAAAGTTTCCCATTGAAATATCAATGCATTTTTAGGAGGCATCTCGTTTTTGCCAAGACTTGCATCGGTACTAGCACCATACAAAGACTTACGAAGAATCAGAGAAACCAGGCTTTAGGACGACTGCATGCTTTTAATATCCATGTGAGAGCCATCTACAGATTACAGTAACAATACCAGGTCACCTATAGCCTGCAGTCTTCCGAAAGATTGGTTTCTGTGATTCTTCCTAAGTTTTGGCATGGCACTAGTATCGATACAAGAATGTTGAATCCACATATTGGGTAGCCATTTATCAAAAAGGGTACAAGAAAATACAAGTGAATTTGAGTTTCATGGAAAGCATTGGGGACTTTGTACCATGGTAGTTTGTTAAGCTGCGTTCTCGCCACCCTTGATATCCATATTTATGGCACTTTTTGGCCGTTAATGTTAAATTTGGATATAGACTAATGTCAAAAATGAGATTCCTCCAAAAAAGCATTGATATTTCAATAGAAAACTTTCATGACGTATTTTCATAAAGTGGTTTCTTTTGCAGTATATATAATAATGCAGTATTTACACCACAAAATCCCAGGGGAGTTGGTCCCCAGTAACGTATCGAGTAGTTCAATGACTTGGTATTTTAGCAACAATCCACGCAATCACTTGAATGTCTGGTCCATACCAGATTATTTACAGGCCACCATCATAATTGAAAATTATTTCATATTCTCTGCTCAGTGACTTGGTTGATGGAGTATCATCATACCCCGGCGGCGTGGATTCTTGCTCACAATAACGATCATCAGATGTCTGTTCCAGCCTCGATTATTTCCAGACTGCCGCCATACAGATGGAATATTGCTGATTGCGGCATTAAAGAACAAACAAACAATAGTTGAGTAGTATATACTACTCAAAAGAAATTAAATAACACCCGATTTTTTCATATGACAGATTAACTCACTTTTGAGCAGTATATATCAGCCCAGCATTTATCACACAAAAACTGAACAAACCAATCCTCCATTACCGTATTTGACGTAATAAGCGCCCAGGGTGCTCTCAAAATTAGAAATAGGGGGCTCTTATTAGAACATTATTTTGGTGGAAAAATAACAGAGTTAAAGGATAGATTTGGAGGTTTATGCTGACAGCCTGAAATGTTTATATACGACAGATATATTTTTCCAGAATTTAATTGCCGATAATTAAGGGTGCATATAACACACGAGTGCGTATTGTATGCAAATCAATATACATTGATCAATCGGAAGGGGTGCTAATTGGGATTGTTCACTAGCCAATATATTAGCAATTATCGCCATGGGCGCTTATTAGAGCGGTCGCTTATTACGTCGAATATGGCATATTAATGAAAATAATAACCATTATACAGATAGTAATTATTGGATATTTCTTTATTTTCTTATTATGAAATTTGATACACTTTGGTGAATAATATATTAACATACAATCAGTGAAGGAAACACATCAGGTTACCATTCATCTATCATCTACAGTTCATGGCAGCTAGTCAAGGACACAAGACCAATGAAGAGGAATCGGTTGCATAATTGGTTATTTACAGGAAGCTTCAGCCAGGCCAATAATAAACATTGTGGTGATACGACACGTATCTCCATAGGTTATCACACAATACATGATACATTTGACACACGAGTTGAATATACTACTCCACTTTTGATACAGATATTTTAATTGTTCCATGCACAAAACTGATTCTCATAATGTCAAGTGTATGTTTAAATAAGACATATGATTGTCCCTATCAAAAAGGGAGTAGTATAATCACATGGGCAAAAATAGGCCCAAACGTAACAGTTAACTTCAACTAAACAAATAATGGTTTGAGAACTCTGGTACACACAATCAGATGCATTGTACATCTAATTTCATGGAACTGTTCTGTATCAAATCGTCAGGATTAAAGTCCATATTGTTTGCCATGGGTAAGTTGTTATCTCCCTTGAAGACATTCCTCAGAATAAGCGGTAATTTGATGTTGCACTCAGCAGTTTTCCAGCTATAAGGCAGCAGTCTGAAAAAATTTAGTTGGAACCACACAATCCAGTGATTGACATCATGAGCATAGATCCACGCAATTGGGATACAATGACATTTATCAACCACATCACAAAGCCTGACCTCCCGATCCTTGGATAAGAAAGTTTCACTGAGGTATCCTGAGGTCCAATTGAATTTCAGGCTTTGTAGTAGTATCCCTAAGTGTCATCACTATCTGTGAGAAAAAATGTTTCACATTAAGTGGCATTCCTGCTCTGGTGAATTGCCCTTCTCAGATTTTGAAATTCTTTTTCTTTTTTTCCCCCTTTTTTAAATAGTCCAGAGGACTAGTGTAAACATTAATTTCAATAGTCCTCAGAGATTGTAGCTAGTCCTGCTTGAACAAGACAAAAATGTTTATTATGTTATATTATTTTCTGTCAGTTTTATCTAGTTCCAATTTGAAGCAAAATTGAAGCATTGACAACTGGTTCAGAATTATAGCCCTTAAATGCTTCTAGTCAATGATGACTATCTTCACTGGATTTAACTTTTAGTTTGCCTCAGCACAAATAAGTTGTCTCGGGCTAGCAGATTAGCGTGAATTTCATTGGGTGCCTACTGAGCTAATCACACCAGAGATCAGTACATTTACCGAGTGACTGCCCATGTCCAGTGATGCATTCTGGGCCTTTGGTAAATTTCCTTTTTACACAATGTAGAGACTTTTTGGACTTTTTGCCATTGTAGTAACACACACTGCTTTCAGCAACAATTTAACCTCATCCAGGCAGGACGACAACAGAAATGAGATTCACAAATTGCACCAATGTGGGAAATCAAACCCAGGTCTTCGGTATTACGACACGACATAAGGCAAGTGGGTTACTTCCCCATGCAATATTGGCAAGTGAACCCTCCCTTCCTTAACTACCTGGCAAGGATGACAGTACGGTATATCACAAATGTAACTCAAAAATCAATTTGAGACTCATGTAGGTGACCAGATTTGATACCATTGAACAAACTCGTACCCACATATAGTTTCCAATCCATAAGAATAGAGATTTCTGTTCATACAACTACACATCTTTGGTGTATTGTATATGAAATAGTACATTTGAGACCTAAGATAATGAAATCCTATGTACAATGAATTTCATTCTACACATACACAATCTCATTAAAATCAGACCTTACTTCTCGCTACCGCTATACAAAGATCTGAAGACATCCCATTAGGAGTCACGTCAGAACGACCTTTCATCCGACCAATCAGTGCATCGCTTACCAGATTATGAAAGTGACAGTCAGAATGTGATTTCTAATCATGCAATCTCGAAAACTTTAACACGGGGTATTCTGAACGATAGTTAAGGGTTTAACAACTGAATCCTTACAATCTAGACCATCTATTAGCCATTCCAGAATGTTCTTTTGTTCAGGTTTCAAATTTGTAATTGAGAATTTGTCAAAATATGTTTCAAAGCGTAGTCACCAATTTGAAATTTGTGCCGTAAAACACGAGAAAACTGCCTTCTGATTGCTCATTCCACTGGTCGGTCAAAGTTCGCTCAAGGTCGGTCTGACGTGACCTGTAATGGGATGTCCTCAGATCTTTGTTTAGCGGTAGCGAGAACTAAGATCTGATTTTAATGAGATTGACACATACAAGGCATATTGTTTCAGTAAACAAAAAAGTCAATGTACAACTGCACAATTGGAACATGAAAAACATTGATGGGTATATTTTACTTACAAATTGTTCACTGAACAAGAACTAAATGCAGAATTAACAATTACATAACAGTAATGGCAGACAAAATAAACACATGGAAAATGTCTTGTTCTGATTTCCCCTTTTGAACCACTTCAGATTATTTGCTTACTGCATAGGATTCAATCTTGATTTTGTGAAGGGAGAGATGATGGATATGAGACGAAACATATATTTCCACATTATTCAGTCATATCATGGCAGTATGTCTTTACTCATGACTCAGGTAGTAGATATTTACCACTCGGGTCAAACCCACAAGCACTTGATAAGTGTTGACGGACTAATTATCAGTGGACTGACCAGTGGAGCCTTCCAGCTAAGGGCCACAACTCTTCACAGCAGCTAAGGGCCACAACTCTTCACAACAAGTTGATGTACTTCCTACAAACAGGGCCACTTGTTATTGTACTAATTAGGATTTGAAAATCAAACTGTATTCCACTGAGAAAATGTTCATTTCAAACCCTTTTGGGTTAGCAATGGATACACGTTTCGTTTTTATGGAAAAATTAACATGTACCCCAAAAATCAACAGGGATTTTCAAAATCATATTCTATTCTTAAGGTAGAAATAGAGGATTTTAACATTTTCTTTGTAACTGACCCAATCATTATTTAAAATTATTTCCTTCCTGCATTTGACCAGGAGAATCTGTATAAGAAATATAATCAGCTTTGCCTTAATTTGTACAAACGGTAACCTGGTTACATACTGCTTAGGTGTACAAAAGACAATATTTGTAATCACACATTAAAAGTGAAACACTCCATGGTTTAACATAATGCATACACATGTATAACACACTGCGACATGGGACTACGTACAATCAGGGAAGGTTGTTCCTCATCATGATCTATCAGTACAAAAGTACTGCAAAAATGTCAACACAAGTAGATCATAAAGTCAAAAACAGACTCTCAGATTGCTGAAGTCATAAACAGACTCTCAGATTGCTGAAGTCATAAACAGACTCTCAGATTGCTAAAGAACCACTGGGAAACAGGGTCCTTTTGCATGTTTTGTGAGCAACCCTGGTCTCCTTGCCCTATGTGTCTGACGCCACACCCATAGTTACAGGTAAAGGATCACATGAACAGGTCATCGTAACTATCTGAAGCTCTGCGGGAATATCCTAAACATATTAAGCCACTGTATTTAATTATTTGGTTTTTCGAAAAATGGAAGGGTAGTTGGTTAAAATAAAATAATTGCAAAGAGGTTTCTAAGTGATTTAAAAAATAGCTTCATCGTCCGGTGAAATAAAAAAATATAAAGTGTTTCTTAACGGAATGGAAGTCAACAGGTTACCTTGTTTCACATTATTGCCTACTTTGATACAGTAACAGAAGGAAGAAAAAAAGACAATGGTTAGGTTAAAAAAAGTAATAGTTTTGGATCTCAGGCGCCGCCCACATCATCATAATGTATGCCACATGTTCCGTTTTAATCTCCATTTTAAAAACAAAACAGAAATATATCCTTAAAAATTCCAAGTCCAACAGCAGTCAAATACTGTATTCCAGTATGTTACTCATCAAGGAATACATTTAAGTAGGGAGGCCCTTTCCTAGGTTGATTGTACACAACTGTCCATTTGGGGACACAACAGTTTATTTGCTATTTTGATCAACAACAACAACAAAAAAAGCCACCGCCCGCCCACACTATATTTTCAAATGCCATTGCCTGAGAACCAGTTCTTTATTTTTTTCAGCATTATTTTTTTGGGACTTTTCCACCTTTGGGTAATTTTAAACCAGTGGATCAATAAATGAAGTGATTATAAAAAAGCAATGTCTACATGTGTTTTTAAGTCCAATTGTCTCCCCTTCCTTGCACTTTTTGACTTCTAACTTCATTGACTAACACATCATGTCAGTGCAAAATGTACACACTTGTACAACTATATACCAAAGATAAACCATATTTACTTTTAAGCCCTATGTGAAAATTCAAAATAATTTCATTAATAACTTGTTCTGGTTAGCAAGTTTAGGACAGACATAATTTGATCTTAAAATATATACACATGCACTAAAACTATACACACCTCAATCAACATAAGATTGTTCTTTATTGTTTCTAAAAATAATATTGCTTTTTGAACTGTGTATTTAATGATACTGACAAAAGAATCACATCAATGATTATGCACTAATGCAGCGCACATAAAATCAAAACTATATACAACAAAATAATTTCAACAGAAAACAATAAAATTAAGTTACTGTGCTTTCACTTTCAAAAATATAGGTGGGCTTTTGTTACCCTGAACAAATAGTAGACAGCAGAGGTGTCAGTATAAAGTTATCGTCATATATGTATACCAAATAACAGTCATTAATGCGGTCATCTGGGTTTTTATCTGATGCAGACAGTGCCTGAGAACCAATACTGCTTTCCTTTTTTGAGACATGTCTTAAAAATGAGAAAACCTGAGTATGGATTTAACACTGCTCTGAACACTACTTCAATATCATGGGTGTAACCATTTTGGGGCAACCCACGAGCTTGCATATGGTTCTGAGAGATCATAATCGGGGTGAATATAGGATTTGAACCCATGACCAGCAAGTCCTGGTACAGCTAAGGGATGCAACTCTTCACATTGCATAATGGCATCTTAGACTACTCGGCCATCAACTTAACATACGACAGTCATAGCGTTAAGATCATCTTGTGGAACGGGGCCCTTGACACCCCATAATATCTAACCCTGCTGCAACTTAAGTCAGTAGTCCTAAGAGTCTAGGAAAATGTCAATCTAATATGTTCAGCTTATGATAGCTTACTTACTCAGAGAGGACTAAGGACTCATTGCCCCTCAATTCCTAGACATTGTATAAGTGCCATGAGTGAAACTAAGACATAGTCTCTGTGAGAGTTGGATACTGTAGACATGGTAGATTGAAATAAATCATACAATATGAGAAGTTGTGTTAGAATGACTTAAGTCAAGCTGCCAATTGAACTGAGCCTAATCGTTCCAAAAGACAAAAATATAGAGCGAGTACAGTTTTAGTACTTTTACGCTGATTTTAGCAATATTCCAGCAATAACACGGCCAGGGACACCAGAAATGGGCTTCACACATTGTACACATATGAGGAATCAAACCTGGGTCTTCAGTGTGATGAGCGATTGCTTTAACCACTAGGCTACCCTGCCGTCCTAAGACTAACATAACTGGAAATGATGTCACAAGGCAAGGTCAGGCTAGGAAATGCAATGTCACAGAACAAAATACTTTTGCTGAAACTGGCAGTGCTCAAGAACGAAGATATTCTTTTGAGCTGAAAAACATTCTAGTTTTCATAGAACTCAGTTTGCTATTTGGTTCATACTTGGACAATACAATAAAACTATCATATTCATCATAATAAGCGCACTTACAAAATGGAGGGGGTACTTATCAGAAGATAATCAGAGATCAGGCAGACTTCATTCCAACATTGGTAAAACTAAAACTTTTCGGTAATAGTTACTAGGCAATCATATATATACCTTATACACTGTTGACTTGTCTGTACAAAGATCTGTAATATACACAAGAAAATATAGACTATCAGGCTCAGTTTGGGGCGATTATAAAGATTACACACAGAATGGTCTAGAATTTGGTTAGGGGACACTTATTGGAGCGGGGGGCCTAATACGACAAATATGGTATATACAGTTCCAATGGACAATGGTAATATGAACCCTAAAGATACATTGAACACAGAGTTTGAAATTAAGCAAGAGAGTCCAGGGGTCCTTGTCATTGCCCTAATGTGAAAAGTTTAAACGATTCAAATACTATAAGAAAAAAAACCAAGGACCCCCTTCCCCCACACACTTAATTTCAAGCACTGTATTGTCTTAAACAATATCTCAACATGAAGGTAAGATTTCACTGTATATTGGCCTATGACTGGGGAGGATGGTATGGAGTAAACTGGTGGGATGTACCAGGATCAGTGAACTGTGGCTGATAGGCAGCAGCACTGGGTGGAGGGAACGGGACATTTGGATCAGGCAACATCACCATCTGAGGATACGGATAACCACCCTGGCCCATCATGCTGTACGACATCTGATGGGCTGGCAAGCTTCCTCCTAAGTACTCCCCACCTTCTGACTTCGGATCATGGTGTCCTTGAAGGGTGCCTTGATGCGGTAGCCCTGATCCTGTTTGAACACCATGGTTCGGAACAGACATCTTTGAGTCACCGATATGTGATGAACTGTCATGTGACATACCTTGTATGCCTTCCGAATGAACTTGCGATATCGGCATATGGTATGTATGCTCAGCCGATCTCTCAGGTTCCATTCCTGTGACATCCTGTCTTTCACCGTGATATCCTTCAGCATCCCTATCTCGTACTGAACTCTGAGTGGTCATATTAATCGGCTCTGAGCCAGATGTTGAAGAGACTGGTGCAACTAGATCAGGATGGGGAGTGTTAAGAGCACCTGTATTTACATGGACTTCTGGCTCCTTTATTGTCACGTCCCCAGTTTGTTCTTCCTCCCCAACTCCTGGTAAGACGTCTATGAAAAAATCGGTACGTCTTACAGTATTGTTTATAGTGTCTTCACGCCATTTTTTTGGGTCCTTTTTATGAATCAGAATCATATGTCTACGCAAGATGGAGGAATCGGTGAAGTTCCTACCACACAAACCACACGAGAATGGTTTCTCGCCAAGATGGATTCTCTCATGGCGAATCAAGGCCTGTTTTTGACTGAACCCTTTCCCGCATGCCATGCACACATAGTCCTTGGTCTCCTTGTGGACTTTCATATGAATAGTTACAGCAGATGATTGCCTGAATGTCTTTTCACAAACTGGGCACTTAAATCGACGGATATCATCGTGCATGAATCGATGCTCTTTAAGAGATTTCTCATATGAAAAGGCTTTGCCACAAACTTCACACTTATAAGGTTTGAAACCCATGTGAACATTTGCATGTTGAAGATATGAGTTCTTTTGAGAAAAGCTCTTGCCACAGGTGGGACACATGTATGTTCTTTTCATACCCAGATGTTCAGATTTGATATGATAAGCAAGAACATACTTTGTGCTGAAATTTTTCTTGCATATCTCGCATTCAAATTCCGGTTTGATATAGCCGTCCTCATGTGTTCTCCGATGTTCAACTAGAGATTTCACTCCCTTGTACAGTTTCCCACAGATGTCACAACAATTCTGAGGCTTCAGGTGAGTTTTTAAATGACGTTTCAAATCTTTCCCAAAACCAAATATTTTGTCACAATGTTCACATTTGAATTCTTTGGTTATATGAACTCGCCTTTCATGTTCTCTCAAATGGCATCGCTTGTTTGCAAAATAAGGGCATTTGTCGCAATGGAATTCTTTTGGAATTTCCGACGGCAGCCTCTTTGGTCTACCCCTTCTTTTCTGAGCACCACTTAGCTGTTTTTTCTTGGCCTTTGGCAGTTCAGCTTTTTGGGAAGACTTAGTTGGCAGTTTCACTTCAATCTTCATCGGGAAACCTTTACGAGGCCGTCCTCTGCCTCTCTTAGTTGAAGGGAGGGGTTTCGCTAATTCTTCTCTTGCTTTACTTCGTCTTGTTGTTCGTTTAGTTGTTGCTTTAATTTTGGTTAGTGACACCACTTCTTCAGGTACATACTCATTATCTGAGGCGGACATCTTCCCATCATCAGCGCTCTCGACCTCAGTGTCTCCTGAATAGTCCTTATCAACAGAATCATCTTTAAAATCACTCTCCTCATCTTCAATAACATCATCGTCTGGGACCTCATTGTCATCATGGCCGTCATCATCATCCTCAACAGGTGGAGGTGGTGGATCTTGATCAACGACCTCAGTTACTTTAGGAATATGTTTCACATCCTCATCAGTTTCTGGAACCTCAGCAACCTTTTTGTCATTTGGCAATTTCTCCAAATCTTCATTGCTCACTACATTGACAGTCTCTACTGTAGGAACATTTGACAAAATATTCTTTGCAATAGTTTCCACCTTCATCCGCTTTGCTGCAGTTTCTTCCTTGCTTAGAGTTTTAATCATACATAGTCTCTTTCTAGATGTGCTCGTATCCGCTTTTTCCAAAATTTCTTCCTTAATTTCTGTAATCAGCTTTTCTTGACCATCCGGTGCTGGTTCATCAGGTAAGGAACTGTTACCATGGTTATCATCCAACTCAGTTTCAGCAGCTTTTGAATGCTCCTCAGCCTCATTCTGTATGTTTGATTCTTCAGGCTCACAACCCTCAGTCTGGGCCTGCTCTGTTGAGTTAGCAGCATCAGACGTACCTTTTGTCTGTGTCAGAGCAATCTGATAGTTCTGTTCCATTTTGTACACATTTTTAAGAACCTCTAGCGTCTTCCGTCGTGACTCAGCTTCCTTAGTAGGTAGCTGGTACCCTGCATACAAAACTACTGGTTCTGGGGGCATCTTATGATGTTTAGCCACTAAGATCTTATCTGGAGGTAAATGCTGATCAATATGACTGGCATGGTCAGGCTTCTTGGATGGGGTTTCCACATCTTCCTTTTGACTTTTTCTATAAACTGGATTTGTGAAAGTGGGAAAAGTTTTTCTGTTGAGAAAATCAAGCCCGTCCTCCTCCTCCTGTGATATGGAGGGCTCCGGTGGACCCAAAGAGACGGTGTCCACCCTGGTCTGGCCATATGTCAGCAGGAATTTCCCGAGGAAGGAATGGGCACGATTCACCGACAGCCAGGAACCCTTCACTTCATACACACCGTCTCGAGAAACAAGTTCGACCCCGGCTTTCTGGCTCAACTCGTGCAAGTAATTCGGTACGATTTCTGCTTCATGAAACTTGCCAATATACTCTTGAGATATTTCTGCAGTTGTTTGAGAGAAAACATGTACGTTTTCAAACGTATCCATGTCTAATTAGACTGAATAGCGCATGGAAATTGGCAAATTTCCGCACTAAAATTATCGCCTTTATGTGAGGGTTTACGGTCTTCCCGTACTGGCGAGGTGGGTTAGGGGAGGTAACTCTTCCCCCTGAAAATGTTCTCCGTTTTCAGTGGCTGCTTAAATTGTATTTTAGAAACACGTGCAGCACAGGTTTTTGTGGGTTTTTTGTGCGTTCTAGCAACAATTTGTTAAGCCCACACAGGTTAGTTCTCCACTGTGTATATATACGCCCATGGTAATGCCATGCAACACCTGTCAAAACTATTTAAAGCAGCGTAAAATCCTTTCATTACCGTCAAATGTTAATGAACACACCGAATTCGTAGAGTGTTACAGAAAATCAATACAAGTTTAATGTAAGAAAAGTTGTGACCGTTAGTCTTATTTTGTTCATATTTATTAGGCGTATAATTATTTCTTATTTTTCAAAAGAAATATTCCATCTAACGAATGGAAATCAAAATGAACGCAAGATATCACATATTTTATTAATTTACTATACATATTCAACGCCCATGTTATGTTATGGACAGATCAGTAAAGCAATATCTATTTTATAGGCACGTGTTGTTGTTGTTTGTAGTTAGATGCTGCTCTCAGCAATATCTATCCATATGACGACGGCCAGTAAATAATCAAGTCTTGGCCAGATTCCACGCCTTCGGGGTGCAATAGGCTTTCGGTAAGCTCGTAAATAAAATAATTCGTAACCATGGAGAATTCGTAGACACTCCCAACTCTTACCCAAATTCCACGATGAACTGCTAGAAAAAAACAAATAACACTGGAAAATAAATTTTAGAAATTAATAATTAAATGTACACTTATGTTAACTAATTATGACACCATTGTTAAACTCAAATGTGTCAAAAAAATGTTTCTCGGAATCAACTCCCGGTTTTTCAACGAATTCACAGTAAATTGTGTCTACGAGTTGTGACATGCAAGCATTCAAGTCTCCTAACCTGACCCCCGACCCATTAAGTCGCCTAATTGATCGTGTTTAAATTTGGTGTGATACTTTTATCAAAAGATTATCGAAGGCTCTGTCCAGGAGGTTAAAGTACCGTTAAATAATTGTCCCCCTGTGTGACACGTAAATCCTATCATCAACCAGTGTTTTAAGCCCACTGAGTATTTTGTATTATTGGCTAGTATTGAGCACAGCCACCAGTAGCTAAAGTGATGATATAAATCCTGCTAGGGTTTCGTGATGGAAGCAGAGGCACCGTAAGTCCCCATGATCCCCAGGGAGGTGGTTTGGTTACTGGTGGCCTATAAGCCCGTGTTTTAAACTCTATAAATGATATTGTTATGCCCAAATAGTTGATCAAAATTGTTTTTGAATATTACTTATCATTCATGACTCACTTATGAATATATCAACTTGTTCTCGTCGCTATATGGATGAAATAATGACGATGCGACGTTACATTTTAACCCTCTCACTCATTGAGTTGCCTCTCACGACCACCATAGGTTACAGAGGAGCCAGTCGTACCTGGAATCACCACCGGGCGTCCTTGGATTGATTGTTGACTTAAGTTCAATCCTTACTGGTTCATATCAATATGAATTAATGTACATATTTGTACTTAGCGTATTTCGAACACACCAACTCTTCATTTGATAGAAATGGAACCATTTACTATCACATTTAATAAATCAATGTTAAGATTGTTATTTTTTATATTATTTTATTGTTTTAGTATTATATTTTATTCATATTTCTCGTCATATGTTCATTCCCAATATTTCATACACGAATAAAATGTACGAATCTACACAGGAAAGGTCGTTGAAAAATATTAATGTTTTATGCACGGTTTTATTATTTATTCAACATTTCTTCCCACGTCAATTGTAATTTAGCACAAGTAGTTCTATACCTAATTATTTAAATCAAAAAGCACACTAAAGGATACACAAATATTTTAGGTGTACAAAACATTTATTTCATGTTTTTTTTAAACTTCGAGTTGACACCTATAACATTTCCAATTGTCTATCCTTGGATACACTTACATGAAGATTGTCTATAAGCCCGCTAAAGTGGGGATTGGGTGGTTTGGCTGTTTGACTTGCCTTATTGTGTGTGTTGTCTGACGACTCGCTTTGAAGAACCTGTGCGTCAGATATATTTCTTAACTTTAAGGTTGAACATTCATGAGCGACAGTAACATCGTAGCGACATACTACTCAAAATTTGCTAAGAATCTCCACTTTAAGAGGAAAGACGTCAAATTGTGTGCATCTTTTGAAATAGCCAAAGACAATATTGCCTGAAGACATGTTTAATGAACAAAAGTCCATTGTCATATGACACACTATACCAACAAACCACATGTGACTAATACTCAGAAAGATCACCAGTAAAAATGAGAGTATCTGACCAACACTGAATCATCACAAAAATATCACTGAAACAAATTAATCATCCAAAAACACAACTCTCAGCAGCGCGTATGTGATGCGATCACGGCCTGGCACCACGGTCTCATGCTCCCAATAAGTGTCTGGGTGGTTGGAAGGGAAGATTGTTCCACTATTCAGTAAAAGCATTCCTGTATAGTTGCCGGAAGGACAGGACGTCGAGGGCGATCTGCAGCTCGTTCCACATGTCTTCGACAGGGGACCGCCTCCGTGGTCAAGTGGTAGAGCGTCCGCCCGGAGAGCGGAAGGTCCGGGGTTCGATCCCCTGCCGCGGCATACCAAAGACATTAAAAGATGATACCTGTCTGGCGCTCGGCATAAAGGGGCTAAAACAAGGACTGGTCGGCTCGGGGTCAGTATACTGTGTCTGAGTGGGGTATTCATGTTAAACTGAGCCATGGTATCTCAGTGAGCTAGCACTATATATCGGCATCAGTCCGGACTAGTACAAGCAGCCACACACACACACACACACACACACACACACACACACAGGCGGAGGGGGTGTTTGACTCGACGGTATAGGCGGAGCCAGAGAGCGGGGGTATGGTATGGCCACAATGGACATTGCTAGAGAGGGAGAGGATTTTATAGGCAGAGCTGTTGATGGACGTGGATGTGTATTGTCGGAGCTGGAGAGGGAGGCAGATTGTATTGTCGGAGGTAGAGAGGAATGTGGATGGTATTGGCACAGCTGGGGAGAGAGGTGGATGGTATTGGCGGAGCTAGAGAGGATGTGCGTGGTTATTGGCAGAACTGGAGAGGATTGTGGATGGCATTGTTGGAGCTGGAGAGAGAGAGATACATTGTATTGGCGGATCTGGAGAGGGTTGTGGATTTATAGCCAGAGCTGAGGGATGTGAATGGTATTGGCAGAGCGGGAGAAGGAGGTGGGTGGTATTGTCGGAGCTGGAGAGGGGATTGGGTGGTACTGTCGGAGCGGGAGAGGGAATTGGGTGGTATTGTCGGAGCGGGAGAGGGATGTGGATGGTATTGGCACAGCTGGGGAGAGAGGTGGATGGTATTGGCGGAGCTAGAGAGGATGTGGGTGGTATTGGCAGAGCTGGAGAGAAAGAGATGCATTGTATTGGCGGATCTGGAGATGGTTGTGGATTTATAGGCAGAGTTGAGGGATGTGAATGGTATTGGCAGAGCTGGAGATGGACGTAGATGGTATTGGCAGAGCTGGAGAGGGAGGTAGATGGTATTGGCAGAGCTGGAGAGGGATGTGGATGGTATTGGCAGAGCTGGAGAGGGATGTGGATGGTATTGGCAGAGCTGGAGAGGGATGTGGATGGTATTGGCAGAGCTGGAGAGGAAAGTAGATGGTATTGGCAGAGCTTGAGAGGGATGTGGATGGTATTGGCAGAGCTGGAGAGGAAAGTAGATGGTATCTGCAGAGCTGGAGAGGGATGTGGATGGTATTGGCAGAGCTTGAGAGGGATGTGGATGGTATTGACAGAGCGGGAGAGGGAGGTAGATGGTATTGGCAGAGCTGGAGAGGGAGGTAGATGGTATTGGCGGAGCGGGAGAGGGAGGTAGATGGTATTGGCAGAGCTGGAGAGGGAGGTAGATGGTATTGGCGGAGCGGGAGAGGGAGGTAGATGGTATTGGCAGAGCTGGAGAGGGAGGTAGATGGTATTGGCAGAGCTGGAGAGGGAGGTAGATGGTATTGGCAGAGCTGGAGAGGGAAGTCGATGGTATTGGCAGAGCTGGAGAGGGATGAAGATGGTATTGGCGGAGCTGGAGAGGGAAGTCGATGGTATTGGCAGAGCTGGAGAGGGATGTGGATGGTATTGGCAGAGCTGGAGAGGGATGTGGATGGTATTGGCAGAGCTGGAGAGGGAGGTAGATGGTATTGGCAGAGCTGGAGATGGATGTGGATGGTATTGGCACAGCTGGAGAGGGAAGTAGATGGTATTGGCAGAGCTGGAGAGGGATGTGGATGGTATTGGCAGAGCTGGAGAGGGAAGTAGATGGTATTGGCAGAGCTGGAGAGGGATATGGATGGTATTGGCAGAGCTGGAGAGGGAGGTAGATGGTATTGGCAGAGCTGGAGAGGGAAGTAGATGGTATTGGCAGAGCTGGCGAGGGAGTTAGATGGTATTGTCGGAACTTAAAAACAACTCAAGTTCAGCATCAGCATGATATTAGTTGAAAATTATGTAGTTTTTATGTCCGCATCATGTTATTTGCTGCTGAGAATGTTATGATGGGACACAATTTTTTATCAACTCAACCCGGGTTTTTTCTGTTATGCAAAATAAATTCTTACCCCCTCTCTCTCGTCATACCAAAAGGGACATTTTACGTCCGCAGTCATCGGTAACATAAATATCTTAGAGTTACCTCCCCGTTAGAGGGCGTGGTGAAGTAGAAACCTTTTCCTTCCGTGTTGGATGAGAATTTTCTTCCTGTCAAAACATATATAAAATAGTTTAAATATCCTTCATTCTGTCCAAAATGGATAGAAGAGGAAGTCAAGATTATGTTGATACACCATCAGCACGGTCGAAAACACAGAGCTCCGATTCTATTTCCACATCTGAGCGTTCTGTCTCCATGCCTAACGAGTCCCCAAGTAGCAGTTCTAAGGAAAGTGCGGGGTCACCGTCCAAATCATTATGTTCCTCGACATCCACGTCTTCGGAGAATGTCCCAACAGCACAGGAGATGAAGGTAAGTTTATGACACGCGAAAATATGTATGTATTTTCTGCAGGAATACCTTTCTTGAGAGGGTACTGAATGGACTCGTCACTTTGCTGGTAGCGTGCCATCATACCCTGACGGACGGGGGTTGGTTATAATATCAACCATTGGTTTATCCGGCCCATGCTTGATTGTTTACAGGTCTCTGTCATATTGCCATAATATTAATGAGTGGCAGCGTTAAACAACAAACAAACTTTACTCATGTGACAATATTTCACGTCTACCTGGGTATACTTCAAAACATCAGGTACCAGAAGATGTAAGTGTACTGTGTCAAAAAGTATTATCCTTGCTAGGGCTGGGACGGGTATGTTGGGTACTCGAGTCGGGTGGGGACTGAGAAGGACCTGGGTACCCACAGAACTACCCGGACCCGTGGTTGGTCATGTGATATATTGTTTAATGACAAAAGTGATCTTGAACTACATTGTATATCGTTACACCACAAGTCACTAATGTTGGCATTTCTTTCTGACAATGCACCCAGACGTTTATATGTTTGATTAAAGATATAACTTCAGTCAACTTCAGTGTATGCATGAACAGGTTGTTCTATACGTGTATCTAAATACATTTTGTCCAGGGCTACAGTCAATCTATTCCCAATCGGACATTTTGTACCTATCTCTTGAGACCTACAGCGGGCATCGGGGTAGGGTCGGGTAATAGGTGGGTGGGTACCCGGGTAGTAAATTTGACTCGTCCCAGCCCTAATCTTTGCGTACTGTGTTTACAACAACTATTTAAGATCTATTTCTGATTTTGTGTCTCAAAGCAATCCCAATACGCTAAGATTAGGTCTTACCTTTTAGAACTTTTCTTACTGTTTACACATGAATGGTCAAATGACAATGTCTTGTTAATAATAATGTCTTGAGGATAATGCTTAGCCGAGTGCCATGTTGTTACCGTCACATGATTTTGAGCCCCTCGATTACAGTCAAGTTAAAAATATCTGCACAACATGATCAGTCACTTGACATTACACACTGGAAGTTTACAAACAGCAACCGATACATCATTGGTGCATAAAATTGTTCTCCTGGAAAATTTTCCATCAGATCAAGTTTGATTAAAATGTGCATTTGTGATAAAAAGTAAGTTTTTAGGTATGTTTTCATTAAATATCAAATATCTTACCTTGTGTAGCTTACTTCTAAACATAAATCCAGCGGCAAGTTGCAAACACTTGGATGTCTTCATTGGGCTTTGAAGAATCTACTTTGATTACGATTATGTCATTGAAGGGAAATAACACTCAATGTTTGAAAGTATTGAAATATGGATCAGGTTTTTCTTCACGGATTCACAATTGCTTATTATGGACTATAGTTTCGATTGGTTTGACTTGTGTTCGACGTTATTCTCGCTACACGAAGCAACTGCTATTGTAGGACTGAAGAAGGAAAGGCTGCATTATGGATATCATAACAAAGGATATACAATAAAGAGCTGCAGCCAAACTTCTACTAACATTTGTTTCTGTTGTTGATTAATTCATGTATGTATGTATGCGACTTGTATGCGAAGTAAAAAAACTACATACAATCCCTTCGGAGAATTCAGGTAATCGAACAGGTGATAATAAACTTGGTCAATAAAAATATGAAATGGGAGATAACTTATCACTAGACATGATGATTTAACATTTAAATTGTATTTGCTGTTCTGCTAGGCATTGTTTTGTATGCAGAAATAATGATTACCGTGAGTAATTTCTCGTAAACCAAGCCGGAAATAGCAATCAGCTGTACACACATTTTCTAGCAATATACCAGTAATTTGGTTAAAAAATACCCAATAATATAACTTCAAAGAATTTTTATGCAATGATCGAATGAATTGTATCTGAAACTAATATTTTATCACAGAAACTATATTCCAATTTCGCGTCTTTCATCTTTTTAGTTGCAGCCTTTACTTAATATATATTTTAAATAAATAATATTAAACCATAAGTGTAGTATTTTGGAACAGCTGATTGCTATTGATTGCTATTTGGTTCACAATGAACATTTTGATCAGTCACCCCTGTCTTTCTGCATTCTTGCTGCAGCACATAAATGAAAACAAAATACAGATATCTTAATTACAACTGACAATAGTTTTATGTATATTATTAGGCAGTTACCTTGTTCGAGAAATGTATCCGTCAATATTCACGTAAAAGCAGAATATCCCAACTATCTGAAGGTTTTCAAAGAAACTTATTTGATGTCACGTGTCTTTGTAACAATCTAATATTTTAAAATATAGATGGCTTTTCGGGATGTTATAACTTGTGTTTGTCTCTCAGCAATAAGTTTGTTTCAGGTGTTTCACATAGTTGTCATATGTCTCTACGTTCATGATGTCCACGGTTCTTAAAAAATAAACCCATTGAGTTAGAACTTAGATAACAATGAGCAATCATATAACATATCACATATTAACAGCTAATCCTTTGAACATAGTATGATGTTTTTATAGCAATCACATATTAACAGCTAATCTTTTGAACATAGTATGAAGTTTTTACAGGTGCGGCCATGCCCATACGTGGGTGTATTCTGTCTGCTTTAGTAAATCAACTTTTATAAACACTTACTTTTGATAAATCCACTGTGTTGTTTGATAATAATTGTTACTTTTTCAAAGCCATTGCTGCTGGACTGAAAAAGTTCTGCTTTGTCATGACTGATGATAGGCATGCCCTCACTAATGGTACAATATCAGGGCACTTGTAAACATGGTAAAGTATGGTGCCAATGAATTCTGAATAATTGCCTCCTTTATAGAACTGTGCTATGGAAGAAGTACATTAATGAATGCATCTTTCCTAATTTCAGGTTTTCAAAGATACCACCAAGTTTGGTCAAAGTGATGAACCTCCATTGCTGGAAGGAGAAAAAATCCATGGGCGAGGTAAACATCAGCCAATATTCCTTATCATTCTGCAGTGATGTAAAAAATATTTTTAGATCACCTGACTGAAAAGTGAAGTGAGCTTATGTCATAGCATGTTGATCATTGTTGTCACTGTAGTTGTAAAAAGCATCTCCGAACAAACCACTGGACTAATGAATCTGAACCTTCACAAGCCTGTTTCCACCAATGATGACATTTAAATTTGTTCAAGAGGTTCAAATCCGAATTTCAATATGGCCACTATGGCATCCATATTGAAAATCTACCAAGGTCATAAAAGCCATATTGAAAACTTATTCGTGGCTATTATTCAGGCAATATTCCTTATCTTTCTGTAGTGATGTAACTAATATTTTTAGATCACCTGACTGAAAAGTGAAGTGAGCTTATCAGCATCTCCTAAGAAACCACTGGACCTATGAAGCTATTATTCAGCCATTTTTGTTTTAACAGCAATGAAATGTTTAGTTTATTAGGAGTGGGACTCAATACTTATGTTATTCCTAGTTAACCTTGTTTTTATGTTTGTGTTTCAACCAAGTTCCAATCTCATTAAAATCAGATCTTAGTTCTCGCTACCGCTAAACAAAGATCTGAGGACATCCCGTTACGAACTTTGATTGACCAATGGAATGACTGACGAGAAGTCGACACTAGCCAATCAGAAGGCAGCTTACTCATGCTTTACGGCACTAATTTCAAATTGGCAACTACGCTTCGAAACATATTTTGACATATTCTCGATTAAAAATTTGAAACCTGAACAAAAGAACATTCTGGAATGGCTAATAGATGGTCTAGATTGTAAGGATTCAGTCGTTAACCCCATAACTATCGTTCGGAATACCCTGTGTAAAAAGTTTTCGGGGTTGCGTGATAAGAAATCACATTCCAACTGTCACTTTCATGATCTGGTAAGCGACGCTCTGATTGGTCGGATGAAAGGTCGTTGTGATGTGACCCCTAATTAGATGTCTTCAGATCTTTGTTTAGTGGTAGCCAGAACTAAGATCTGATTTTAAGATTGACCAAGTTCTTAAATTCTGTCAAAAATCTAGTTTTAGCTGTGTTCTCCTCTGAACATGCTGAATTGCCAGACTGGGGAAGCTGAACATTGGCATGTGTGTTTCTTCTTTCCGTGTTCAAATCTGTAGAATTTAGTGTCATTTTTTTATCCTCAGTATTTGTGTAGAAAATATTTGAATTTTCAATGCTGTCTTTTGTATAGTGTCTGTCTTTGTTGACATTTCCAACTGTTGACCATGTTGACAGGACTCATCCAGGTGAGCTCCAGTCATGTTGATACATTTTTTTCAGGTGAAATCAACATTGGTATATGTGAGTCACAGTCTGTGCCCAAAAGCTTTGCGTCCACTAGCCTGTAATTGGCTCTTAGGAGTAGTGTAATTTTCAGTACTTTTTAGTGTTGCCATGACCCATGAAGATCCGGGGTAGAATATGTCTTCAGTAACCCATGCTTGCCGTAAAAAGGCAACTATGCTTGCCGTAAGAGGCGACTAAGGCGATCGGGTGGTCAGGCTCGCTGACTTGGTTGATGCATGTCATCAGGTCCCAATTGCGTAGATCGAAGCTCACGATGTCAGTCACTAGATTGTCTGATCCAGACTCGATTTTTTCCAGACAGCCATCATATAGCTGGAATATTGCTGAGTGCAGCATTAAACAACAAACAAACAAACTAGTTTTTTTTATTGGCTGATCTTTTTAGACTGAACAGAATTTTACCAAACTGGGGCTTCAGACTAGTGGTTAGAGTCGCAGACTGGCATCTCATTGATGCAGATGCTCATGTTCCAGGCATCATACATAAGACACCATTACATTTATTCAAAGATTCATGACCCATTTGGATTCAGGATTAGAATGCTGGTCGTAAGACTTCGAGGACATTAATGGGTCAGGTGGTCAGGCATGGTTACATGGTAGAAAGCATGTTATTGTAGCCTGACAACATGGATTGTTGTTCATGATAGCAATCACTGGATCTTTTGCTCCAGACTCGATTATTAAAACCCATCGTCACATACATGGAATATTGCTGAGTGCGTTGTTAAACAATAAACAAACAACAACAAAGATTCATGATTGTCATATTGCCCTGGTTGTTAATATGCTCATGATGTCAATCACTGGATTGTCTGTGTCCAGACTCGATTATTTACAGACCGCCGTCATACAGCTGGAATATTGCTGAATGCGGCGTTAAACAAAAAAACAAAAAACAAATCATATGGACACACAGCTTAAAGATTTTGTGGTTGAACAAACTGAATTTCAGCTTTGGGCCTGGGACATTTTTTTGATTATTTGGAACATGTTGATGAGTACAAGTACAATCTAACAGCTGGAATGTAATCAATTTGATTTGGAACATGTTGACGAGATACAAGTACAATCTAACAGCTGGAATGTAATTGATTTGATCAATAAATATCCAACTTATGGTGTTGCCATGCATGGTTGCACCTGTGTTATTGGGATGTATTTGTACAGAATTGAGAGCACTGTCATTGACAATTTGTTTCAATATAGTCATAATGAGTTGTATCCATATACTTTATTAATTTGCAAAATGTGAATAGTGATATGAATTAAGAGTATTTACATTGTCAAATTCAGTTCTGGTATCAAACAAATAGCGTGTTGTTCGTCAGCCTTTAGGCCTTTGATAGAATGTGCCATGTCTGATAGCCATGTTAAGTGGTCTTCAGGTTATGCACGAAGCTAATGGTATTTAACATGAAATATCCAGTCTGTTGTGCCAATAGTCCCAGCCCGAATATTTTAAGATTTCTTTTTGTCAAGCAACTTCAGCTTACAATAGGGGGCACGGATGGCCCAGCGTTCTAAGGCGCCGCAATACGCTGTGCAGTGTTAGGTCCCTTGTGCACGCCAGAAAGCTTTGATCGTGGATTCGAATCACGGTTTGGCCTGTTTATGTTTCTAGGTTTGTCAGCACCATGTCAGCATCGTGGGTTTCAGTGGTAAACGTCTGAGACCTGCATCTCTTCGGGCTTTCCTCCCACATCAAGCTGACTCGCTGTAATATAACTTGAATACTGTTCAAAGCGGTATTAAACCAAACTCACTAACCAGTTCACTCAGCTTATAATATCTGGTGAAAAATACACCCTAAGAAATGTTTTGGCTAACAGACTGAAAGTTTTATGGAACACTCTGAATATATAACAAGTGTTCCCACTGACAACTCTCAAAATTACCAGTCCTCCCTAATTTTTGACGGTCCCAAGTTACAACAAATAAAAACGTGTGAAAATTACCTGGTTTTAATTCTTTCAACATCATGTTCAATGCAATGACCTCATCTCAGAAGTAACTTAGTTAGATCTACACGTCATTCACACAAAGATCAGTCATAATTTTCTCTTTTCTTTTTGAATATTTCAATACTAAGTCGCTACAAATATATATTTAACCTCAAAACAAAGCATAATGTTATTTCCTTGCAACAAACCATGATGGTAACAGACAAGCTGACTTTATTCCAAAAATATACTCATATGAATATTGTGGATGCTTTGTTCTATAACAAAGATATATAAAGTATGTTATTTGCCAGTCCACAGGGACTGGCAGTCACATGAATTTCCTGTTACAAGCATAATTTCACTGGTAAAAAATGGTAATTACCGGTAAACAGTAACACTATACACGCTCCCTGACTTTCGCCACAAATCCAGAGCCACAAGTCTAGTAATATTCTGTTCAGCCTGTCAAGCTCAGCTAATTATCATGATAATATGGTCCATATAATAACACTCAAATCTACTGAGAATGACACTAAGATTTAAGTTCCGCAATCTGATGGATATTTCAATATTTAATAATAACAATTTGTAATCCAACCAAAGCATATCCTTACAACAGCCGAAATGTTTTCTGGAGAGGACAACCTGATTGTATTTAAAGGGAATATGCCAGTATTATTTTTTCACTGTTTTTTCAACTAATTTTCACTGTTTTTGTCCAGTTCATATGTTTTTCTTATGAATACCCTAGTGTGCTATTATAGACATGCCACATTTAATGCAATGTTGAATTTTTGGAAATAATTAGATAAGTAATTTAAGTGTAAATTTGGATATTTTTCTCCAGTTTTGACGAAAATATTGTAGGTGGATCTGTAATCCAACCAATAGGAAAATGATGCCCAACCAAAAAATGATGTACAGGGTGTTTTTGACAATGTATAAAGTCATGGTTATGTTTTGTGTGTTTCAGGCTATGATGTGACCTATCTATGTCCCTACAGTGGGCCAGGGAGAGGCACACTGACTGTCACCAACTACAAACTCTACTTCAAGAGTTCAGAAAGAGTAAGTCACACAGATATATTGAACATTAAAAAATGACAGTCTGTTACTGAGTTTTATTACCCACGTGGTTAAGATACAGGTGGTAAGATACTAAATCCGTATGTCACATGTGTGTGGTACAAGGTTGACCTTGTTTTATTCGTTTTGATTGGATAACCGTGACCTCTGTCACACCGGGACTACTTTTTTCATTCATAAAAAATCGCGAGACATCATTCATTTTGCAATTATAAGGCAGAACTGAAGCAATCTCATGTGAGCAAGGGATATTAACAAACACTTTATTAAACCAAACAAGATAGCCACACACATCAAATTCGGTTTGCATCCTATATGAGTTATGCATTGAGCTTCCACAGACATTATATAATGGAGCTATATCCATTTACAATTTTCGACTACCGTTCAATAGTCTGAGCGTCCCCATGAGCGTGACGCAACCGACCACTGTCGCAATTTCCAATTTGATTTAACGTAAAAGGATAAGCGTGGATAATGAAGTCAGTTTAATCTATCTGGACAGATATCTAGACTTACTTGGCATGATCCGGTTGTGCCATCAGTGTCCTCTTCGAAGGGAATTTTGTGGCATTGTTTCGGGAGTTGTTTGTTCAGGACTGCACAACCAAATCACTCAAAGTGAACATTTCCTATACAAATCATTCGAAAGCTGCGTCAAATACCATAGAAAGTCCACTCATTTCGTAAAAATGGTATCTTACGAGAATGAGTGTAGTATTCTCTTTAGGTCAGAGTCTTTTTATTTCTTAGTTGTGTTTGGAAAAGCTTGTTTGGTACGTGGGAGACAAAAAAAAATGAAAAGACATTTCCGATTATTCTTTTGTAATTGTTCTCTGCACAGTGTCTGTTAACTGGTCTTGTCAATCCCTTTATTTGTATTATATGCACGTTATTGTGAAAGCCAACATGTAAGTTTTCATTCAGCAGAATAAAAACAATAGTGCTTGGTAGATTTGTTTTCCCACTTTCCATATGTATAGAGTTAGTGGATATGGAAACTAATAAAACCAATTTTACCTTGGTTTGAAGTTCAAATATTTACATACATGTATTATAATAATGTTACAACCAAGAAGAATTTGTTTCTTGTGGTAATTGTCTGTTTAGGCATCATTTTAGGCAAAGGTGTCCTAGTTATAAAAGATGCTGTAGTTTAAAGTGCAGAGTTGTCTCCCTTAGTTTAGCAAGGGGGCGGTCGGGTAGCCTAGTGGTTAAAGCGTTCGCTTGTCATGCCGAAGACCTGGGTTTGATTCCTGACATGGGTACAATGTGTGAAGCCCATTTCTGGTGTCCCCTGTTGTGTTATTGCTGGAATATTCCGAAAAGCTGTGTAAAACCAATGTTACAATACTCACTCACTCACTCACTCACTCACTCACTCACTCACTCACTCACTCACTCACTCACTCACTCACTCACTCACTCACTCACTCACTCACTCACTCGTTGACCAAGGATCTTGTCATGAGTTTGAATCTCAGATAAACCCTGATAATGATCTTTGGTATGTCAGAAACACCTGAACTAGATGGCATTAAGGGGCTATAAGGTTGGCTCGGAGTCAGTATACTGCATCTGAGTGGGGTATCCATGTTAAACCTGCAGGATGGTATCTCAGTGAGCTAGCAATGGAATCGTGATGAAACCAGTATAAATCTGTTGTACAAGCAGCCACATACGTGCCGCAGTTTTAAGACCTGGGATGCCAAACTTATTAGGGAATGTCCTCAGGATTCGCAAGTGTTTTGACCAATGTAAATGTCTGCTTTTAAACTTATCCTATCTCAGACTAAGCATTTCTTCCTTCTTCTTTCAATCCTTCTGTGGAAACATGCTTGATAAAAAATTCCCCTGAGCACATCCCAGCATAATGGCCACCACCCAAACAAATAGGTCACGCGCTGTGATCCCGTTCATAGCGACCAACACGACATGATCGCATGACACCCCTGCCACATCATTCTCTTTCTCATCGCCATATGATGGAGACGTGTACTGAGTTCTTAAGGAATACATTTTCTCTTTTTTGTTGGATTTCCCTTCAGTATCATATTAACTTTACGTTAGTAACTTGTGGGAGAATAGGTTCCAAGTATGAAAATCGCCAAGCTTGTCTCAAGTGCAGATAAACTTCCTCCACTTCGGATCCTCATGATCTCTGTTGTGATTTCTGATCTCTTTTTGAGTTCGATCCACTGTTTAGGTAGTGTTACAGAATATTTCATTTGTATCACTTTTTAGCACAAGCTTCCTCGTGTAATCTCACGGTTGTAGTCTATACAGGCTAGGGTATCTGCACCCCACTGTCCAACCGTGCATTAAATGCATACTGTGAGAAAGGATAAGTTTAAAAATTTGTAAATTCTACATTAAATTGTTTATATTTATATACTATATAGGCTATATGCCCTCCCGACCATCCCCACATCACCGCTCCTCTAGCCTGTTAGCTCTAATAAAGAGAATGATATGGGAGGGGTAGTCATGTGATCATGTCGTGTCGGTCGCTATGCACATGATTACAGGTGGTGACAATGGTGATGCTGGGATGTATTTGGGTGAGCTGTTTTTAGAAGCTGGAAACTTTGTTTAAGGCTGTTTCCACAGAAGGATTGAAAGAAGAAGGAAGAAATGCTTATTGTGAGATAGGATAAATATATAAATATACAATTTAATGTAAAATTTACAATTCTGACAAATCTAAGGGAGGGAGAATGCAAGGACATGAGGCACAGTTATGACAAACTATGTATTATGAGATCACTCCTATCATTTTGATGTTTCTTCCAGGAGCCTCCCCTTATCCTTGACGTGCCGCTGTGTGTCATCAGTCGTGTGGAGAAGATAGGGGGCGTCTCCAGCAGGGGAGAGAACTCTTATGGCATTGATATTCTATGCAAGGTAAGTAGAAATCTTGAACAATGTTGAAAGGTTAGTAAAAAGCAAAAACATGTACAATTAAAACTGTGTTAGAAATTTAATTACAGGAAATCAAATTCAAGTAAATTGGTAATTGGAGCATTGCAGGCATCTTTTTATTAACTTTTGAAATAAGATTTCTGTTAATTGAAATAAATAAAATTCTAAGGAAATGATGCCGGATTCGTTGGTTAATATGTGTTGGAAGTAATGGAGGTCACGCTAGTTATGTCAGACCTTCACAGTGTTGATCTGGTCCAGATTTTGTGTCATATATAATATTCTCTTTTCAGGATGTAAGAAATCTCCGTTTTGCCCACAAACAAGAAAACCACTCTAGACGTCAGGTGTTTGAGAAAATTCAACAGTATGCATTCCCCGTGACTAACAAACTGGTATGTGTTCAGCGATAGTGACTGATTTCTTTGCGCAGGGATGAAACACAGTTTATACTTTGACATAAAACCAGAGCAGAACGCTCATATGTTTAATAGGATCATGTTGGAAGCTTGAATCTTCAGTCATTGCTTATAATTGTACTGTTCTCAGACCCGTGAAGATCCGGGGTAGAATAGGTCTTCAGCAACCCATGCTTGCTGTAAAAAGGGAATATGCTTATCGTAAGAGGGGACTAACTGGATCAAGTGGTCGGCCTCACCAACTTGGTTGATGCATGTCATCATATCTCAATTGCGTGGATTGATAATGTCAATCACTTACTTGATGACTACCTTTAAGGAACCTTCACCTTGTCCTTTTTGTTTTTTGCAGCCATTCTTTGCCTTTGACTTCAAAGAGGACTATGGTATTGATGGATGGAGAGTCTATGATGCTGTGATGGAGCTGAAACGACAGGTTAGTGGGATTAGCAGTTATTACCAAGTAGAGGCTCAAGTTCCAGATATTGTCGCTCATGTTTATCTCAGGAAATGGTTACATAACTTTCTGATATGGTTTCTTTCCATTGCAGGGTTTGCCGACAGAGAGTTGGAAGATTGTTCGACTGAATGAAACATTTGAGCTCTGTGACTCTTACCCTGCCATTGTAAGTTTATTGTTAACAGATGCATGTTTTGTGCTGCTTCATGTAACCATGGTAACATGCTAGTTCAGAGGAAAATGACCTAGAAATGACACAGCTGTTACAGGGAGATTTAAGTAATCTTAATTGACTGGTTTTGTGTTTAAAAATTTGATAGATTTTTTCAAAGTGAATAATCTTTTTCATATGATGGCCAGTGTTGTCCATACAATAAACCGATCCAATAATTAGGCAGATTAATATGCAAATTAGGTCTCCGAGCGGGAACTACTTTTAAGCTCCTTATGTCAATGCAATGTCAGCTTGATCAGTATGTTATTGGCTCATGTTCCCAGTATGTTAATATAGGGGTTTCCAGATGTGGGGATGTTTCTGTAAACACACATTGCTGTAAATCAGTTGGCACTATATGATAATAGAATGGTTCACTCAAAGATTGTATTCATACACAATTTTCTGAAGATACTTCAATGAGTAAAAGTACATCAAATCATGGATTATTTGGACTGTCAAGTCAGCAGCTTTGATGACGTCCCACCTGTCAATATAACACGACAATCCATGATCAATATGCCTGTTCGATAACAGGTGTCGTTTAAAAACCATGGAGTTTTGATGAAAGCTAATCTTGTCCAATAAGGTGTATATCTCTGTGCAGGTTGATTCACCTAGGCAAAGCAAATATTTCCTAAAAAAACAAAACAGAAATAGAGGCTATCTGGCTTTTGTTGTCCAGTAAGGGCAGACTTTTTTTGATTGGGGGGGGTATATATTTTTTACCAAGGAATTCAGAACTAAAACTTAAAACATTCCAATTTCAAATATCTTTTTTTTTATCTTTGAAAGGCATTTAGAAGTGATTCACATAAGGATGAGAATATATGGATGTCACCTTCTTTATTATGAGGAACACAATGTTTCGGAGTATATGCTTACTCCTTCATTGGGTGAATGAAGGAGTAAGCATATACTCAGAAACGTTGTGTTCCTCATCATGCTCATAATAAAGAAGTTGACATCCATATATTCTCATCCTTATCATTTTTTGATTTACTAAAAATGTTAAGTAGGTATAGAAAACAAAGTACGAGTGGGAGGGATAGGGATAGAAGCAACCAATGCCTTGGCTCAATTGGCTATTAATTATATTATTATATTTTTATTATTTATATTGAAAGTGACGCTAAATGAGTTGATTTTCCCATTTTATTTTTTCTAGTCGGCTGAATAAAAAACAAACACCTCTTTTCATTTATTGATATTTTCACATTTCAATTTTTTGAGAATGCAGATTTTAAAACCAAGTTTTAAGAAAAGTTTAACATGTTTATCTCATTGAGGATTTGATTGAGTTGATATTAAAATTTCATATTTGTCATTGGAGGATATAAGCAGAAAAGCCAACTTTCTAGTTATAATATCATATATGTATCTTATGAATATTATTCTTAAGGGATTAATGTCATTGAGGCAGTCTCAGTAGTTCTGGCATGAAGTGCTTCTTCACTTTACTTTATTTACGGGGCGGTTGGGTAGCCTAGTGGTTAAAGCATTCGCTTGTCACGCCGAAGACCCTGGTTCAATTCCCGACATGGGTACATTGTGTGAAGCCCCTTTCTGGTGTTCCCCGCCGTGATATTGCTGGAATATTGCTAAAAGCGGCGTAAAACCATACTCACTCACTCACTTTATTTACTGTTGTTTCAGATAGATATCGCTTCTCGTCGCATTGTGATGTTTATATATGATGTATCTTGGTGTTTTATATGTGTACAATATACATACTCTTACATTCCTCCTCCACCAGATTGCCATGCCTACAGCAGCTAATGATGAAGACATTCGTGCTGTAGCTAATTTCCGTACCCGAGGGAGAATGCCAGTGAGTGACCTCCCTTTATCAGTTTATTTTTGCATGTTACTCACGCTCTCATCTGTTCAGACGTTTACAACCTAGGCAAGATCTGTACATATTGTTTGTGAGATTTCTTGAATGTCAAGCTCCTGATGTATTTGTATTGAGTACAGTGTGAGTAATGGAGGAGGCAGTTATGTGATCAACAACTTTTTATGAGATTTCCTGTATGGCAACCTCCCTATGTCTTTCTATGGTATATGAGTACACTCTGAGTTGACATGGTGACTCCTGGCTACAGATTCTGTCCTGGATCCACCCCGAGAGCCAGGCCACCATCACACGCTCCAGTCAGCCCATGGTGGGCGTGGCTGGCAAGAGGAACAAGGAGGATGAGAGGTACATCCAGATGATCATGGACGCCAACGCCCAGTCACACAAACTCTTCATCATGGATGCTCGACCCAGTGTCAATGCTGTAGCTAACAAGGTATCTGTGTCTGTTCCCTCATTGTGAGTGAGTGAGTGGGTCAATGCTGTAGCTAACAAGGTATCTGTGTCCGTTCCCTCATTGTGAGTGAGTGAGTGAGTGAGTGAGTGGGTCAATGCTGCAGCTAACAAGGTATCTGTGTGTCTGTTCCCTCATTGTGAGTGAGTGAGTGGGTTTGAGTGAGTGAGTGAGTCAATGCTGTAGCTAACAAGGTATCTGTGTCTATTCCCTCAAAGAGAGTGAGTGAGTGAGTGGGTTTGAGTGAGTGAGTGAGTGAGTCAATGCTGTAGCTAACAAGGTATCTGTGTGTCTGTTCCCTCATTGTGAGTGAGTGAGTGGGTTTGAGTGAGTGAGTGAGTCAATGCTGTAGCTAACAAGGTATCTGTGTGTCCGTTCCCTCATTGTGAGTGAGTGAGTGAGTGAGTGGGTCAATGCTGTAGCTAACAAGGTATCTGTGTCCGTTCCCGCATTGTGAGTGAGTGAGTAGGTCAATGCTGTAGCTAACAAGGTATCTGTGTCCGTTCCCTCATTGTGAGTGAGTGAGTGAGTGAGTGGGTCAATGCTGTAGCTAACAAGGTATCTGTGTGTCCGTTCCCTCATTGTGAGTGAGTGAGTGAGTGAGTGGGTCAATGCTGTAGCTAACAAGGTATCTGTGTCCGTTCCCGCATTGTGAGTGAGTGAGTAGGTCAATGCTGTAGCTAACAAGGTATCTGTGTCCGTTCCCGCATTGTGAGTGAGTGAGTGAGTGAGTGGGTTTGAGTGAGTGAGTGAGTCAATGCTGTAGCTAACAAGGTATCTGTGTGTCCGTTCCCTCATTGTGAGTGAGTGAGTGAGTGAGTGGGTCAATGCTGTAGCTAACAAGGTATCTGTGTCCGTTCCCGCATTGTGAGTGAGTGAGTAGGTCAATGCTGTAGCTAACAAGGTATCTGTGTCCGTTCCCGCATTGTGAGTGAGTGAGTGAGTGAGTGGGTCAATGCTGCAGCTAACAAGGTATCTGTTTGTCTGTTCCCTCATTGTGAGTGGTGAGTGAGTGGGTTTGAGTGAGTGAGTGAGTGAGTGAGTCAATGCTGTAGCTAACAAGGTATCTGTGTCCGTTCCCTTATTGTGAGTGAGTGAGTTGGTGTTGAATGAGTGTATGAGTGAGTTGGTGAGAGGGGTTCATTTCACTGACAAACATACAGCTGTCTCACTCTGTATTTTCATTGCAATTGTTGTTGTTCCCAGGCCAAGGGAGGAGGCTACGAGAATGAAGACGCTTATCAGAATGCAGAGCTGAGTTTCCTGGACATCCACAACATCCATGTGATGAGAGAAAGGTATGTCACACCGGATCGTACCATAACCTATGTTCACCCCAATTATTTTTCTGGGTTTGTCAGCACCATACCCATACTCTAGGGTTCCACAAAGTAGTAGGGGTGAAACGATACAGGAAGGTCAAGATACGTTACTTATCACCATACGTAAATTACGATACAATATGTATCACAATACGCATATTTATGTCAAATCAATGTCTTGTCTTGACCATAAATATTTCAGAGAAAGTTCAAAAGGAGTACCAGCTATAGACACATATGTTTGACTGAAAAATGTGCTGGGGGGTCATTAAATGAGTAGTAAGTAATTTATTTTAGCAAGTGTATCGTCTTGTATCGATACAGTCAAAAATGTATTGTATTTTATCGTCACATGAAAACTCATAATGCACCGGTGCATTGATGCATCGTTTCATCCCTACAAAGTGTTAAACGTCTGAGACCTGCATCATTTTGGGCTTTCCTCCCACATCAAGCTGACAAGCCGTGATATAACTGGAATAATGTTCAAAGCTGTGTGTAACCAAACTCAGCCCTTTCAGATTTCTTGTCCTCTGACCGGCTAGAGCAAACGAGATTACACAGTTCATTATGCAATGGTTAATACCAAGGCTCCGCAATATGTCCTCCAAAATACATCCGTATGCCTCTTTGCTGTGCCTTGTCATCAAGTAGCTGAAAATTCTTATTAGTCAATGTGTCAGTGTCAGGTTCTTGTTTTGTCGTATCTTCAGACTGGTCTTAATCGTATATGAATTTTTTCTACAGTTTACGTAAGTTGAAGGAGGTGTGTTTCCCCACCATAGATGAGGCTCATTGGTTGTCTAATATAGAGTCAACACACTGGCTAGAGCATATCAAGGTGAGATCATCATCATCATCATCATCATCATCATCATCATCATCTTCTGTTTATTGAAATCGACCTGCTCTTATATTTTGTATAGAAACACACACTTTTTGGTTATTTCCATAAAAACATGTTATTTTATTTGTTTAACATGTTTAGTCAAGTTTCAGTAGTTTGTGCATAAGTCGTATTGCATGTATAAAAGTGTGCAAGAAGATAGAAATATGTAAAAAGAGCTGTTCTTTTTCAACTTCACACACACAAAAATATCAAACAATTTAAGAAAAACATAAACACCATTTTTTAAATTGCTTTAGAAATCTGAAACTTTTACTTCATAAATTTTATCATTTCCATTTACGGAATTTTGATTAATTGAGTTTAGTTTTTATTGTAAATAGCTTCACTTTTTGTCTGCAGCAAATTCTGGCCGGTGCTGTCAGGATCGCCGATAAAGTTGAGAGCAATAAAACCTCGGTGCTGGTGCACTGTAGTGATGGCTGGGACAGAACTGCGCAGGTGACCTCTAGTTGTACATGCAGTCTTGCCACAGATGATTTGACCATTGTCCTAGAAGCTTGTTCCACAAATTGGTCTCGGTTCTGAGATGGTGTAACTCAAATACCTATACCATACACTGTAACTCAAATACCCATGCCTCAGATCTATGATAGGCTTAGTGCTGTGACTACTGTAACTCCAATATCTACACACCTGAGAACTGTGATAGTCTTGGTGCTGCTACTAGTGTTAGAACTGAGACCCTGGTGGACTAGGCCTAACCATGACATGTGTGGTGTTTTGTGGAACGAGACCTTGACCCAGGTTGACTCGGTCCAACCACAACATGTGTGTTGTTTTTGTAGACTGAGACACAGGTCAACTAGGCCTAACCATGACGTGTGTTGCTTTTGTGGACTCAAACCTCGCCTCGGTCTCACCACGACATGTGTGTTGCTTTTGTAGACTGAGACACAGGTCAACTAGGCCTAACCATGACGTGTGTTGCTTTTGTGGACTCAAACCCTGCCTCAGTCTCACCATGTCATGTGTGTTGCTTTTGTAGACTGAGACACAGGTCAACTAGGCCTAACCATGACGTGTGTTGCTTTTGTGGACACAAACCTCGCCTCGGTCTCACCACGACATGTGTGTTGCTTTTGTAGACTGAGACACAGGTCAACTAGGCCTAACCATGACGTGTGTTGCTTTTGTGGACACAAACCTCGCCTCGGTCTCACCACGACATGTGTGTTGCTTTTGTAGACTGAGACACAGGTCAACTAGGCCTAACCATGACGTGTGTTGCTTTTGTGGACACAAACCTCGCCTCGGACTCACTATGACATGTGTGTTGCTTTTGTGGACTGAGACACAGGTCAACTAGGCCTAACCATGACGTGTATTGCTTTTGTGGACTCAAACCTTGCCTCGGTCTCGCCACGACATGTGTGTTGCTTTTGTGGACTGAGACACAGGTCAACTAGGCCTAACCATGACGTGTGTTGCTTTTGTGGACTCAAACCTTGCCTCGGTCTCGCCACGACATGTGTGTTGCTTTTGTGGACTGAGACACAGGTCAACTAGGCCTAACCATGACGTGTGTTGCTTTTGTGGACTCAAACCTTGCCTCGGTCTCGCCACGACATGTGTGTTGCTTTTGTGGACTGAGACACAGGTCAACTAGGCCTAACCATGACGTGTGTTGCTTTTGTGGACACAAACCCTGCCTCAGTCTCACCATGTCATGTGTGTTGCTTTTGTAGACTGAGACACAGGTCAACTAGGCCTAACCATGACGTGTGTTGCTTTTGTGGACTCAAACCTTGCCTCGGTCTCGCCACGACATGTGTGTTGCTTTTGTGGACTGAGACACAGGTCAACTAGGCCTAACCATGACGTGTGTTGCTTTTGTGGACACAAACCCTGCCTCAGTCTCACCATGTCATGTGTGTTGCTTTTGTAGACTGAGACACAGGTCAACTAGGCCTAACCATGACGTGTGTTGCTTTTGTGGACACAAACCCTGCCTCAGTCTCACCATGTCATGTGTGTTGCTTTTGTAGACTGAGACACAGGTCAACTAGGTCTAACCATAACATGTGTTGCTTTTGTGGACTCAAACCCTGCCTCAGTCTCACCATGTCGTGTGTTGCTTTTGTTGACTGAGACACAGGTCAACTAGGTCTAACCATAACGTGTGTTGCTTTTGTGGACTCAAACCTCGCCTCGGTCTCACCACGACATGTGTGTTGCTTTTGTAGACTGAGACACAGGTCAACTGGGTCTAACCATGACGTGTGTTGCTTTTGTGGACAAAAACCTCGCCTCGGTCTCACCACGACATGTGTGTTGCTTTTGTAGACTGAGACACAGGTCAACTGGGTCTAACCATGACGTGTGTTGCTTTTGTGGACATAAACCTCGCCTCGGTCTCACCACGACATGTGTGTTGCTCTTATAGATTGAGACACAGGTCAACTAGGTCTAACCACGATGTTTGTGTTACAGCTGACGGGGCTGTCGATGCTGATGCTGGACCCATACTACCGCACAGTGCTGGGCTTCGAAGTGCTCATTGAGAAGGAGTGGATCAGTGCAGGACACAAGTTTGCCCAGGTAGGTGCAGCTGATGTGTGTCTAGTATCTCTTCAACAGAACTTATCTGTTTATCAAGCATATGTCTGCCAATGTTCACTTCACTATATACAGGAGGGAGTCGGGTAGCCTACTGGTTAAAGCGTTCGGTCATGACGCCAAAGACCTGGGTTCGATTCCCGACATGGGTACAATGTGTGAATCCCATTTCTGGTGTCCCCCACCGTGATATTGCTGAAATATTGCTAAACCCATACTCACTCACTCATTGATTATATAGATGATGTGTTGATGTTGACATTTGATGTATAAAAACAATTATGTGAAATGGTCGGGACTGATACCAGCCATTTATTAAGTCTGTAAGTCCACATAGTTATTTAGCTCACTTGTATCATGTTTATTCATATGTCATGGCCTGCTTGGCTGCCATATTTAACAGCTCTTTCTGTCCATTCCTCAGCCATTGTTAAAAGGGGCAGACGGGTAGCCTAGTGGTTAAAGCGTTTGCTCGTCACGCCAAAGACCCGGGTTTGATTCCCGATATGGATACAATGTGTGAAGCCCAGTTCTGGTGTCCCCCGCCGTGATATTGCTGGAATATTGCTAAAAGCGGCGTAAAACCATACTCATCCATCCATCCATTGTTAAAAAATGTAATCAAATTTGACTCAACGAGGCTTTGGACAAAAGGACAGACCATTTAATATTCTGGGGGAGGGGGCTTCGATTTTGTTTTGAGACCAGATATTTTTTCAGCTGCAGCTGCAAAACCAGATGTTTTTTAAATAAAATTATGAGCAGAAATAGTTTTTCTTCTGAAAAACACATTTCAACAATGTAATTTTGGTGGCAGACAATTAATTTTTCCAACAATGAGAAGCATAGTTATTGTGCTCAAGAATTTCTGAGCACTTTCTGTTTTTGTTGATGAGATCGTTGGCTCCCAGAATATCAAATTGTTGGCCCCTAAGAGGGTCCAGACTGACAGGATCAAGGGAGCAGTGTTTAACTGTATGTTGTCAAGTTGGAATCCTGTGTCTGTTGCAGCGAGTTGGTCATGGGGAAGACAAGCACTCGGACGCTGACAGGTCACCTGTGTTCCTGCAGTTCATCGACTGTGTCTGGCAGATGACACAACAGGTAAACACTGTAGCCTGGAGCAGGGATAGAGATAGCACGGAAACACTGCTAGTACTGCACCGTCTCCGTGGTCTAGAGGTAGAGTGTATGCCTGGAGAGCGGAAGGTCTGGGGTTCGATCCCCTGCTATGTCATACCAAAAGATGTTAAAAGATGGTACTTGTTGTTACCCTGTCTGGCACTCGGCATTAAGGGGCTAAAACATGACTGGTCGGCTCAGAGTCAGTACACTGTGTCTGAGTCGGGTATTCATGTTAAACTGCAGCATAGTGTCTCAGTGGGTTAGCACTATGAATCGGCATTAGTCCGGACTAGTACACAGACACACACACACACACACACACACACACACACACACACACACACACACACACACACACACACACACACACACACAGACACACACACACACACACACACACACACACACACACACACACACACACACACACACACACACACACACACACACGTGCATGCACATCGCTATATAAGTTCAATAATCTTGGATGCGACTTTAAACCCCATTTCACCTCACTTCACCTCACTTCACCTCACTTCACCTCACCTCACCTCACTACTAGTACATTGATTAAACGCCCAGGCTTTTATTTACGCTTGGACTTTCTTTACACCTGGCTTTTAATCTCAAATTAAGTACTGGAGAGAATTCCATGTATAAAAACAACCCGGCCTTCAATTGAGACCCAATCGTTTATTCAAGGCCCTGCGTTTAAGTGGAACCCAGCATTTAATTGAGGAAATATGGTAATAAATGATAGGATATTGACCAAATCGGGGTACAGCTTGAAAATTTGCATTGCCACTTCAGGTGACTTTTGTTTCTTGCTAAAGAGTTCACATTAGAATCATACCCCTCCATCCTCTCGATTTTTTAACAAGATGTCTCGTAAATACATATTTGATGTCATCACGGGCATCGATGAGCACTTCCTGATCACGATCATGGAGTACCTCTACAGCCGCTAAAACATTATTATCTGTTTCTAGTTCCCAAACGCATTTGAGTTCAATGAGCACTTCCTGATCACGATAATGGACCACCTGTACAGCCGCTATAACATTATTATCTGTTTCTAGTTCCCCAACGCGTTTGAGTTCAATGAACACTTCCTGATCACGATCATGGACCACCTGTACAGCTGTCTGTTTGGAACCTTCCTCTACAACTGCGAGCAACAGCGTCACAAGGAGGTGAGGACAGTCGTCCAGAGATGTTTCAGTCACCATTAAGGCTGCTGCCATGCTAGACATTTTCTTTAACATAGTTTTAGAAACAAATGATGATTTGAACATGTTGAAATGTGAAAAGGGTGATGAGTGTGTGTTTGAGTACAACATGGTAGGTGTGCTTCCACCTTGCTTAATGGCTGACAACATTCATATCCTACATATTTTGCAATTTTATTTTAATGACAATTTTGATAATTTAAAGATTGTTTTTAATACCAGTTTTTTATCATGATTATTTAATGTTTTATTGCGAAAAATCAAATGGATCAGACGCATGTGACACACTTACGAGGCCTTCACCTAAACACATTTCATAATGATGTGTATATACACCAGTATGGAGACAAATAATCACAGATTTGTGCTTTCTGTAACCACGGCAACATTGTGGAATGAATTTTTCAGAAGTGAACTCTAGTTGGAACTCTGATAATGAATTGTTTTGGTTCCTGCTATTGGGTGAGTGAACACTATAGTGACAACAGTGTAGTTGTAACCTTGTGTTGACTGTTGTAACAGGGGGTGAAGGAGAACACGCTGTCACTGTGGTCCTTCATCAACTGCCAGCTGGAAGAGTTCACCAACCCGTTGTACGCCGCCTACCTCCACCAACATGTGCTGTTCCCTGTCGCCAGTCTTCGCCGCATACAGCTGTGGACGGGGTACTACTGCCGCTGGAACCCTCGCATGAGGCCACAGGTAGGCCATCCTTATTGCTCCTGCAGGTTATCCTTGTTGCCCCTGTAGGCCATCCTTGTTGCCCTTTAAGTTCACCCTTGTGCCCCTGTAGGTTATCCTTGTTGCCCCTGTAGGCCATCCTTGTGTCCCTTTAGGTTATCCTTGTTGCCACTGTAGGCCATCCTTGTTGCCCCTTTAGGTCACCCTCGTGTCCCTTTAGGTTATCCTTGTTGCCCCTGTTGGCCATCGTTGTTGCTCCTGTAGGCTATCCTTGTTGCCCCTTTAGGTCACCCTTGTGTCCCTTTAGGTTATCCTTGTTGCCCCTGTTGGCCATCATTGTTGCTCCTGTAGGCTATCCTTGTTACCCCTTTAGGTTATCGTTGTTGCCCCTGTAGGCCATCCTTGTTGCCCCTGTAGGTTATCGTTGTTGCCCTGTAGGTCATCCTGGTTGCCCCTGAAGGTCCCCCTTCTGCCCCTCTAGGTTATCCTTTTTGCCCCTGTAGGCCATCCTTGTTACCCCTGTAGGTTATCCTTGTTACCCCTGTAGGTTATCGCTCCGGCAGGTTATCGTTGTCCATCCTGCCTTGTCCTGTAGGTGCCCTTGGCCACTTTATTGTTTTCTCAAATTTCCTAAAACCCCTTCTTATTTTGCTTAAATAATCATTGAGGACATATTCAGGATAGTGAGATAAACTGACATAACTCAGGTATCAATGTATTTCTAGCCAATGGCTATGGGTAGAAAGTGTATGTGTTGTCAGTCTTAGCCTGGGTGTAACAGTCATGTTTCATTTATCTAACAGGAACCACTTCACCTCCGTAACCGAGAGCTGCTGGTTCTGAAGACCCAGCTACAAAAGAAGATAGAGGAACTACAGAAAGAACTAGAGAACAAAAATGCCCGAGCAACTCTCCAGCCATCCCCAGCCCGAGTGTCCTCCCCTGTGACAGTCTAGGGCCCTGTAGAGACCCTGCCTTGGTGGAAGGAGTCATTAGGACAGATGTCGCTATGCCCAGGAGACATGGAGAAGAGAGATTGATGTCCCTGGAAGTTTAGCTGGTTGTGCAGGATAGACGAGTGTTACCTCTTTGTCACATCTTAGGGAGACACTGGTCATGAGTTTGTGAGGAACAAAGAGATGTCCTTTTGTTACACTTCTAAGAAGCCATGAGGATGAATTTGATCCAGATGAAAGCAGAAATTGTATTGTCACTGTCTTCACGAGGCACTTTGATGCAGGGAGGTTGATTGTCCCTCTGGCTAATGTAGACTTCTCATGAACTATACAAGTAAAGATCATGCCAGTATCTCTGGAACAAGATCAGATGGTCCATGAACAGCCACAGGGTGGAGACCATTGAAAGGGTTTTTCAAGAGTTAGGTCTGTCGAATACAAATTATAATATGATGTGTGCAATGGATGGTCTCTATGAATGTGGCATCACAACAGAGTTGAATGATACAAGCCCTGAAACCTTGTCGTCATATCGGCCATGTGTTCTAACAATATTCATATTTAACATAAATCACTGTTTTCATGATTTATTGTCTCAACAAGTGTTGGATGATCACTATGTTCATGGAGACAAACATGGATCAAACTGTAAATATAAAATGTGTCATTTAGAGCCTGGTAACAATGGTTAGTTTTTTCCTAGTGGTTAAAATGTCTGTTACCTACTGTGCAGAGTTGCGTCCCTTATCAAGGATCTGATACATGGGATTGGAACCATTATGATCCTTGATCTGTCAGAACCTGCACACATCTACAACCTGCATCAGTCTATGGCCCCACTGTAAGCTGACAGGCCATGATATGACTGAAATACTGTTGAATGGTCAGTCAGTCCAACACACTCGCTTCCAATGTGAGACTGCCTCTGTGGTCTAGTGGATAGAGCATCTGCCCAGAGAGTGGATGTTGGTGGTTCAATCCCCAGACATGTCATACCAAGATATAAAGATGGTACTTGTTGTTACCCTGCCTGGTGCTCGGCATTAAGGGGCTAAAACAAGGATTGGTTGGCTCAGTGTCAGTATAATGTGTCAGAGTGGGGTATTCATGTTAAAACGGGGACACGGGTGGCCCAGTCGTCTAAGGCGCCGCGATTCGCTGTGCAGAGTTGCGTCCCTTAGGCACCCCAGAAACCTATGATTGTGGGTTCGAATCCCGATTCGCCCCGATTATGTTTCTAGGTTTTTCAGCACCATACCCGTGTTCGTGGGTTTCACCGAAGTGGTAAACGTCTAAGACCTGCATCACTTCGAGCTTTCCTCCCACATTAGGCTGACACGCCCCGATATAACTGGAATACTGTTAAAAGCGGCGTTAAATCCAACTCACACACTCACTCACTCATGTTAAAACTGTGGCAAGGTGTACCGACGGGCTGGCACTATAAAAGAGATGCAATAATCTTGAACGCAACGTTAAATGCGATGTTTGACCTCACCTCACCACTTCTTATATATCCGAGTACCGTTGTGGTCCGAGTGATGAAATACTTGTTAAGATGGAATACCTGCAAGGCAGCCCTGCATTTATGACAAAGCTGCCTTTCCTCATGCTGTGTGTGTAACAGTTAATTAACATTTCAATTTTGGTCCCAGCCCTGCCAATTTCAGCTACTTTTCATACAAAATACAGAGGCTGAGATGACAATGTTTTCTGATCACTCAGTTCTGAGACAAGGTCTAGAGAAAGACTTGGGTTCGATTCCCCACATGGGTACAATTTGTGGAGCCCATTTCTGGTGTCCCCTGCCGTGATATTGCTGGAATTTTGCTAAAGGCGGCGTAAAACAATACTCAATCAATCACTCACTCACTTGCAGATAGAACAGTGGGGTATCCTGGTAATGTAAATGTTTGCATGTCATGGGGAAGACCTTGCTTTGTATCCCTGACATATACAATGTGTGAAATCCTGATGTCCCTGCCATGTGCTGAAATATTGCTAGAAACAGCATTAACTAAACTCAGCCTTGAGTGAGACAGCTGAATGTGAACCCTATTGTATATATGTGTACAGACTGAGTACCTGAATTACAAATTTCATAACCATATTTGTTAATTTATGATTTCATTTGATTAGATTATTTTATCATTGTTGTCAATATTTAACAAGATGTCATTTTAGTCATGAATCGTTTTGTACAAAATGTTACCTACAGGATATTTCCTAGTGCAATCATCATGAATAAATTCTGCATTCTCATTTCATCTTTGTGTTCATATTCATGTGACTGCCTCCGTGGTCTAATGGTAGAGCGTCCGCCCGGAGAGCGGAAGGTCCGGGGTTTGATCCCCAGCCGCGTCCGCCCGGAGAGCGGAAGGTCCAGGGTTCGATCCCCAGCCGCGTCATACCAAAAGACGTTAAAAGATGGTACTTGTTGTTAGCCTGTCTGGCGCTTGGCATTAAGGGGCTAAAGCAAGGACTGGTCGGCTTGGAGTCAGTATACTGTGTCTGAGTGGGGTATTCATGTTAAACAGCGGCATGGTATCTCAGTGTGCTAGCACTATAAATCGGCATCAGTCCAGACTAGTACAAGCAGCCACACACACACACACACATACACGTGCATGCACGGTGCTATATAAGTGCAATAATCTTGGACGCGACGTTAAACCCCATTTCACCTCACCTCATATTCATGTTGGAGAAAAGAAAGTCGTTTGTTCCCTGTTGTGTCATGCCAAAAGATAGAACTTGTTGTTTCCCTGCCTGGCACCGGGCATTGAGTTGACAAAACAAGATCTGGTCCACTTGGAGTCAGTATAATGTGTTTGAGTGGGGTATTGATGTTAAACTTGGGCCTGCTATCTCGGATGGCTAGCACTATAAACTAGGGCTAGTACAAAAACAAGGGAGCGACATGCACACGCACATCGTGATATAAGTGCAGTAATCTTGATCGTCACATTAAACCCCATTTCACCAAAGATTACACAAGCCCGGATTGAGAAAGAATATGTTTATTTGATGATATATGTGTGACTGAACCGTGAATGCCGCGCCGAGCTTACATCAAGGGTCACTGCATTGGATTGGCTACATACACAGCTAGATATACAATCAACAGCCACTTACCAATCTTAAATATTAAATAATTACTTTCAAACAATAAAATGCATGACAGTAGCAAACTTGAGGGGAAAAACGGAAACAAAGTTCTTTTTGTCACTGAATACTGAAGTGGACGAAAACACATCAAATTGAAATATGTGACCGTCACTTTGTTCCCTCCATGTGTGAAGAGTAGCCGACCACCGCAGGGCCACATTACACAAAGTGATATTATCACTGTCGCAAGTCTTACGAGATACAACAGTGCTAACTGAAGTTACAACCATCGTAAGTCTTACGAGATACGACAGTGCTAACTGAAGTTACAACCATCGTAAGTCTGTACGAGATACAACAGTGCTAACTGAAGTTACAACCATCGTAAGTCTTACGAGATACAACAGTGCTAACTGAAGTTACAACCATCATAAGTCTTACGAGATACGACAGTGCTAACTGAAGTTACAACCATCGTAAGTCTTACGAGATACGACAGTGCTAACTGAAGTTACAACCATCGTAAGTCTTACGAGATACGACAGTGCTAACTGCAGTTACAACCATCGTAAGTCTTACGAGATACGACAGTGCTAACTGAAGTTACAACCATCATAAGTCTTACGAGATACGACAGTGCAAACTTAAGTTACAACCATTGTTAGTCTGTAGGACATACAAGAGTGCTGTTGAACGCGGAACAGATCAGTTCATGAATTTGGTTTGGGGCCTCATTTCACCCAGCTCTGTGACTATTGTATGTCTATGTTCAAGTACTGGAGTTACGACAGCTGTCACTTTGTGGAACAAAGCCCTGGCTAATAGTCATTATCAACACTGCAAAATGCCTTTTTTTGCAACAGACACTAACAATATTTTTGACATATTACAAAATTAAACATCACAAAAATATCCCATTCAATTTTTATTCAAGGGGACATAAATATTACCCTCTCACTTTTCGTGTCATCAGAACCACACCATTTATGAGGCTGAAAAAACGACTAGGCAGAAACACAATATATACAGCCATATTTCCTGTGAGATGTAACTACTGGCAAAGTAATTACTTGAGGTGAATATGTGTCGTGCTGCTTGCTGTACTGCTATCCTCCTCCTGTGTGGTCTCGACACACTCCAAAATAACACTTGCAGCTACCCAAGGGGAATAATTCTTCAGAGATCATCACCTCCATTCTAACTCAAACCACTATTAATTTACAACAGAACTCAACATCAACTTGACTTGGTTTCTGTTATGTGAGCTTCAAATGAAGGTCAAATGAAGGTCACAGAAGCAGAACAAATCCAGGAAATCAATTCTGCCATTTCATCATTTTGCATAAGATATGAACGGAAATTTGGACTTGAAGGCACGAGGGACAGACAGATACATGAGATTCAAGTTTTACAAAATATAAAAACACCGACACGAGTCACAAACAGTTATACATCCCAGCTTCAAGTTGTTCCCATCCTTGAAAGTCAGGAGACCACAGGTCAACATAGTAGTCTTTAATAACTAAATAAAACCGAAACTTTTATTTATCATTCTCCTAAAACGTATAAATTACGGTGAGATAATTTAAAGGGGTTATAAAAAAAAGGGGCCTCAAAGTCAAAGTTTTAAAATAATGATTTTCTGAAACGGCATTACTGTAACATTCATAACAATTAACAAGAGCTCTAACAATTAATGAGGTTCTAAACCAAAGGGTCTTTTATATTTCAGATAACAGAAATTTATCTATGACTCTCCAAAAAATATACAACAACATATATACCGGTAACGTTTGTGTTAAAGACAAGAACTGTTACAAATTATAAGACTTTGAGATAAAAGTACTGACTGGCAATAAAGTGAACTAGGTGTTACTGATGGAGGTAAGTTAAGTTGGGGCATGGTATCCCTTTGGAAAATGGAGCCTGGCTTTGGAGGGATTGATCCCGGTTATCATATCGACATCCGTTGATGTAAGTTAAGGGTAGGGCCACGTACACAGACTCTACATAATGTGCAAGTCTAAAAACTATACTTGCGACCTTTGTTCATAAATATTGCATAACTGATGTAAACAAGAAAACAAAGAAAATGGAATGATAGAGCAGACGCACACCACTGCCAACATGTCATAGGTCACAGCCAAGGTCACTTCTATGTTCAAGCACAGCATTGCTTCATGAAATTGTTATAGGACTGACGTCTTGATTTAGGCAAAACCAGAATTCAAAATCGTTTGTTGTAAATGCTTTATGTCAATTTTCTGGAGTATTTTTCAAATCCAAACAAAATTTTAATATCCCAGCAACACTGATGTGTAAGACTACGAGGCTGTGACTGATAACACACACGCACACATGGTTTTGTCTTCAAACATAAATACTTTCGGTAATTTTTTCAGTTGGTAAAATCTTGCAGCTTTTCTTTCAATTACATACCTGATGACAACAATACTTCAAAATAGTCAAAGAATGATTATTGAAAATTGCGTATTTAACGTTCAAAGTCAAAATAATGTGTGATTGTTTGTGAATGCTGGGATTGGTAAATACTGTAGCTGAACAACAACACCACCACCACCCCCATCTTGTGACTGACTGTATATGTAGATATATATCCCAGGTACAAATACAGAACAATACATGCAGGCTACCACCGTGCAGTGGGACTACGTGATGTATACACAACACCAAGAAAATAGGAGGTCAATAAATAGTCCTGAAACAATACCTGCATTTTGTATTTGCACTTTTAACCAATAGCAGGTGTGGATGTCAAATTTGAAAATATCCAAAGTATGAATTGTTGGATAAAATTCATTTTGAAATATTTACTTAACATAAAGTTAATAGATCTAAATTTATCTCAATATATACTTAAAAAGACAAGTAAATAAGAATTAAAATAGTAAAAATAAACATAAATAATAATAAAATAATATTTTAAAAAAAATAAGAAAAATAAATAAATAACACTAAAAGTAGATAAATCATAACTTTAAAACACATCTTCTTATTATTCTTGGTGTAGTGTATTCTACAATGAACATGTTGATGAAATATGACCAATCAACATGAAACAAAACTTTCTCATATTCAAGTACAATGATGATCACAAAATATATTCACAATATTAAATTATTTCATGTATAATCCTCTATTATAAAACTACAGCTTAAATTCCAACCAATAATTCACAATCTGAAGTTACAATCACTTGCTCAAATTTACCATTTTTACAAGTCTGATATGCAATTAATCATAATTTTATTTTTGTTTATGAATTAAAAATTGATTAATATCTCATAAATTACATAAATCAGCTAATACTGTTGACATGTGCACACAACGATCACGGTAACCACGGTAACAACATTTCTACATTCTGCCATTTCACGTAAGAATCCTGGCTACGAAACGATTGTCAAAACAAAATGTAAGATTGTGATACTGGAGACGTATGTACAAATATATATCGACTGCTTTTATTTACAACAGGGGCTAAGGTAAAGGCAACATTGGCTACCGAAAAAATCTATCAACAGTAAAATAGCGACTACGGACAACTCCTGGAGTCCTGATCAATAGTGTATATATTTCAAAGAAGGTGTTTCACCGATTCCAATATCATTACACATATTCCTGAGAGCCCTTCACATGCTGACCCTTAAACTGACCTTGGCCTCAACACAACATATTCCGTTTTATTCCGCGAGAAAATAGTACCTGTCTAACAATTTCAAAAAGCAAAAAGCATCTAAAATGTTCAGTATTTCCTGAAACTACCAATTGCACTGACTTCAGCAATAATTTAAATAAGCATGTTTTTACATGAAAGTAATTTAAAACAATGTACATATCTAATGATAGCAACATAAAACTATCATACGAAAGACAATTGTTATACAAATCTGAGTATTTATTTATTGCTGACTGCAAATAATGTCAACATCTACCGCATTTGACGTAATAAGCACCCCGCTCAAATATCCGCCCACGGCAATATTTGCTAATATATTGGCTATTGAACAATCTCAATTAGCACCCCTTCCGACTGATCAATGTACAAAAGATTTATTTATTCGCGTATAATACACACTCGTGTGTTATATGCACCCTTAATTATGGGCAATTAAATCCTTGAAAAATATATCTGTCGTACATAAATATTTCAGGCTGTCAGCATAAACCACGAAATGTTCGATCTTTCAACTCTGTTTTTTTCACCAAAATATCATTCTAATAAGAGCCCCCTATTTCTAATTTTGAGAGCGCCCTGGGCACTTATTACGTCGAATACGGTATATCAACCTTGGTGTTTTCAAACTGTGTATATATATATATGCACTTTCTTCTTCTAAGGCTTCATATTTTCCACAAGTGTCTCTTGCCCTTTTCATCTTGGCATTGAGTAGATAATGAAACAGACATTGGGTCAGTAAATATTTCAAAAATCTAAATGTTATTGTAACCATGGAAACCTTACAGCCTGGATGAATGATCCTCTTCAGTATATGATCTGGTTACTGAAGAACTACAATTTGTTTGCTGAAATATACATTACTATCAACAGGACGTGTAAGCCATAACCAGTGTCTCCACACAACACAAATACAGCACCTTCACATCTGAACCAAGTTCAATAAATGATGTACATACTCTGTGATAAAATTGTAGTCACTTCAAAATATTTTCATGGCGGTCAATTTTTTTATAAATACAAATTCATTCACTTCAGGGACTGGTCCTTTATTTTAGGGGGTGGGGATCACAAATCATGACAGTCTCTAGGGGAGGGTCATTAAAAATAATACACAGTTTGGGGGAGGGTCATGGAAAAATGAACATTTTCAAAGTACTTTGGCATTTCGTCTTTTCAGGAGGGTCAAATGTACAAGCTAGAACTAGGGATGGTCATTCCCAAAAATGACAAGCATTAGGGGATGGTCATTACTTTCAGTACATTAGTGCATCAAAAACCTCTGTTTGTTTGTTTGTTTGTTTGTTGTTTAACACCGCACTCAGCAATATTCCAGCTTTATGACGGCGGTCTGTAAATAATTGCATCTGGACCAGACAATCCAGTGATTGACATCATGAGCATCAATCCACGCAATTGGGATACCATGACATACATCAACCAAGTCAGTGAGCTTGACCTCCCGATCCTGTTAGTCGCCTCTTACGACAAGCATAGTCGCCTTTTACGGCAAGACCTATTCTACCCCGGATCTTCACGTGTATAAAAAACCTCTGACACCTGGTAATAAATGACCAGTCCCTTAACATGAGGCAATGCTTAAAAATTCCTTCACAGTTGAAGACAACATTAGAATTCAGACTGGATTCTGATTCAGCTGGTCATAATCAATGCAAAATATATAAACATGGAAGCCTAATGTGGCTTTGATCTGCTTGTTGATAGCCTTGAAACAACAATACTCAAAACATTTGCATTGATTTGCAAACCTGTCTCTCAAAATACAACAGAGTATAAAATGAGTATCTTTGGCTACAGTGAAACATCAAAACAGAACATATTAAAAAAAGACAACAAAGCATTCTAAAACCACCATGTGATACTTAGCACCTATCTGAATCTCAGTAACAATGAGAACTTTGGATTCATGAAGAATGAAGGATGAAAAATTTGAATGCTTTCTTATAAACAAGAATCTGTTTGTTTTGGCCTCTGGGAATTAAAATATACTGATCTTAAATGACCTATATCAACATGACTTGATGGGAGGGAATAGGCACCAGGAAAGCGCCAATTTGGCAGACAATGTGATACACGCCACAGTTTTATCTGGAAGACCGTGTATTTTTAAAACAATAAAAATCAACATCATGTTTAGAACCAGTACATAAACAACAATGGACACATGTACCTGATGTACCTTTTAATTCTTAAGCAACTTTCATATTTGAGGTTTACTTGTTTTTCAGTTACCTCAAGCCGTAACCTTAACTAACTTCATTAACTTCAGAGTATATCAATACAAAAAAGGGGAGGGGGGTGTAATCCTGACTTTCATTAAAAACAACATTTTTTAAAATTGCTCAACAACCTGTGTTTATGCTAGACTTGGCAAACGATTCCACCAACTCCTTAAAATGTGAGTTTTTAGAAACAAAATAAAAATTAATGGTTTTTTTAAATTCTGCTGAAAAGAAATAAGTAAAATGTTTAAAAATCTCTCCTCATGTTCTGTCTTTATCAATAGAAATAAATTCTTGAAAATAGTATAATAAAAACCTGCTGAAAATCTATCTTAACAACTTCGAAACAACGAATCCCTATTCCTCCCACAATAAAAAGTGAATGAACTTCAAACTGTATCACCTTAAAGGTCTGCATAACATATTCGTAACTCATTGCCTCACCAATTCTTTGTTAAGTTTGAATGAGAATGGCAAATGATTACATACTGGAGCCAGGCCAGATCAAAACATGAAACTCCGGATCATGAAGTCCTACCCCAAACGTATTACTCAAGTAAATCTTCAACCTCACTGGTGCATATCAATGATTGACAGTTCCTATGGCAACATACAATAGGCAGTGTATGATGTGGATGATGGGGTGTAATCTAATTTGTGCATCTAAATGATTGAGTGTTTCTATGACAATAGGCATTGTATGATACAGATGATAGGGTGTAGCCTCATGGTGCATAAAAAATGATTGACAGTTTCTATAGCAACATGTAGTAGGCAGTGTATGATGAAGATGACAGGGATTGGTGCGACTAAGTGATTTACAGTTTCTATGACAACAGTAGGCAGTGTATGATTTGGATGATAGGGTGTAACAATAACAAAATACAGTATCATGTTACCATAACAACTGCTGACATAAACATCAATCAATAAACAAGGGTTGTATCGAGATACTAATGGTACACTATTATGTTTCCAGTTTCTATAAAGATAGCTTCAATCTTATATGATACATCTTGTAAACCTGAAAAAATGGTGTATCTTTACATATATTATATATATCATGCCCCTCATATTGTATTGCTCCCCTTGTATTGAATGACACACATTGTCACATCCCTTGTATTTTATAACATACCTTGTATTGCACCCCTTGTATTGAATACCACTTGTATATCAACCCTTGCATTACAATACACACCTTGTATTGCTCCCCCTGTATTGTATCCCATAACATCTTGCACAACACCTAAACTTAACCATTGTATTGTATTACACTCCTTGTATTGCCAACCCTAGTGTTGTATAACACACATCCCACATTTGTATTACATAGCATCTTGTATCACGCTCCTTGTATTGTACAACATCTGTATCGCTCCCCTTGCATTGTATTACATAGCATCTTGTATCATGTACCTTGTATTATTGTACAATATCTGTATCGCTCCCCTTGCATTGTATTACATAGCATCTTGTATCATGTACCTTGTATTATTGTACAATATCTGTATCGCTCCCCTTGCATTGTATTACATAGCATCTTGTATCATGTACCTTGTATTGTACAACATCGGCATCTCAAGCCTTGTATCACTGCATGGTTACACCCTTGTAGATGGCAAGCCTACTCCAGCTCACACTCACCAGTGTATCCTAGGCCACAAGTATTCAACATCGCATGCACTAAACCTAGACATGGTTCTTTCTTGTATATATAAATATATATATATATGTAATATGTGTATATCAGCCTACCTGACCAGAGCACATGAATGGCATAGGCTACCCATTACACAATATATTATGCTGGTGATTCAAATCTTGAGCATATTACTATGCCATTTGTTTCTAACATATTCTGAAGCTCTTTCTGACTAATGAAAGATCTCTTCATCATCATGCGCTTTATACACAATCTCATTTCCATTAAAAACAGACAAATCTGTTCCCACCCTTCGCTTACTTCAACTTGAGAGTTTCTGTTCAACTAAAACCATGGTCCATATATATCAATATCAACACACCATGGTCCATATATATCAATATCAACAAACCATGGTCCATATATATCAATATCAACACACCATGGTCCATATATATCAATAGCAACACACCATGGTCAATATACATCAATATCAACACACCATGGTCCATATACATCAATATCAACATACCATGGTCCATATGTATCAATATCAACACACCATGGCCCATATACATCAATATCAACACACCATGGTCAATATACATCAATATCAACACACCATGGTCCATATGTATCAATATAAACACACCATGGCCCATATACATCAATATAAACACACCATGGTCCATATACATCAATATCAACACACCATGGTCCATATACATCAATATAAACACACCATGGTCCATATGTATCAATATAAACACACCATGGCCCATATACATCAACATGAACACACCATGGTCCATATACATCAATATAAACACACCATGGTCCATATACATCAATATCAACATACCATGGTCCATATGTATCAATATAAACACAGGATGGTCCATATACATCAATATCAACACACCAAGGTCCATATACATCAATATCAACACACCAAGGTCCAGATGTATCAATATCAACACACCATGGTCCATATACATCAATATCAACACACCATGGTCCATATACATCAATATCAACACACCATGGTCCATATACATCAATATCAAGACACCAAGGTCCAGATGTATCAATATCACCACACCATGGTCCATATACATCAATATCAACACACCATGGTCAATATACATCAATATCAACATGCCATGGTCCACATGTATCAATATCAACACACCATGGTGCATATATATCAATATCAACACACCATGGTCCATATACATCAATATCAACACCCCAAGGTCCGTATGTATCAATATCAACACACCAAGGTCCATATGTATCAATACCAACACACCATGGTCCACTTATATCAATATCAACATACCAAGGTCCATATGTATCAATATCAACACACCATGGTCCATCTGTATCAATATCAACACACCATGGTCCATATACATCAATATCAACATACCATGGTCCATATCAATCAATATCAACATGCCATGGTCCATATTTATCAATCAACTACACACCATGGTCCATATCAATCAATATCAACATGCCATGGTCCACATATATCAATATCAACACACCAAGGTCCATGTGTATCAATATCAACATGCCATGGTCCATATGTACTAATATCAACATGCCATGGTCCATGTATATCAATATCAACAATTCACTCTCTAGAATTCTCAAACAAACACCACAGCAGTGAAGCTCATCATCACATGTTTGAATCTCCCTGATTGTCTCACTCTCATTGAGTTATGTCCCTTTGAAGATAGTCTCCCTTTATGGTATGACCTCTGTCTCTCGACGATCGACTGACTCTCAGTGCCTGCACGCATCTTCCATGACTGCAGTATAATCTGGCGGAGGCACATCGCGATAGTCCGAGTCAAACCCACTTGAACTACACGTACACACAGACTCGTTACTGCAGTTCTCCTTGTGTTGATAGTTAACCTGGCTTGGTATTGGCTTGGGCTTAGCCATTGGGTATACCAGGGGCTCACTGTCCAGGGCCTTTGGCACAAGGTAGCCATTGTTTTCCACCGGTGACGACCCTGGCGCGTAGCTGCTGGAGTGACCACTGTCGCTGTCCTCAGGGTTGTGGACATCGGCTTGCGTGTGGAACTGGACTGGGGACTCTGACCTCGCCTTATCCAGGGCCTTCTCCTTGTCTCCATGTGGCCGATGAAGGGGTGTCAGTTCATATTCTTCGGACTTCTCTTTCCGCCACATCTTCTGATTCATATAGCGATTGGCTTCGTTATCCTCATGGTCGGAAAGACTAGTGGACTCCGGTTCAGCTAAGCTTGGACACATGGGTGTGTAGTCTGGTGACCCGTTCATCTTTAAGTACCCATCAGCAGCGGCGGCACCACCGGCAGCAGCTGCGGTGGTTGTTGTTCCTGTCTCATCAATCATCTTCACATATGTGGTGTTGAGGTCCAGGTAGTACTGGAAGAACAACAAGCTGTGCTTTAGTGAAAACTTTACAAAATATACACAGCTACTAAGTTCATTATTGAAACAAACAATTAACAATTGTATGTGTACAATTTAACCATCAGAAAATCTGATAAATTGTGTGATAGGCATTACTTAGAAGATGGCAGATGACAAAGTAGACACAATTAATGGAGAAGTTGTTATCTACTTTGGGAGAAAATTTGGTGTCCACAACTTGAACAAATACAAACACTTTTTCATAACTGAATTTTCAGGAATGCTTAAAAGGACAGAATAATTTCTTTTATTAGACATACAATGGCACACTCGAAGTTCTTACATTGGGCCTAATTCTGATCTGGAAACCCAACAGGGTAAATAGTCCATGGAATCTCCACACGGTAAATATTCCATTCTACCATGATACTGGAGGATGGTCTAATTTGATTGGTTAGTTTTACTAAATTCATAGTTGTTAATGAGTGATAACCATTTCTGATTTGGGGGCTGCTTTATTTTGCGTAGGAATAATTTGCACAAGATGACCCTGGCATAATGTAAACAAACATGTTGCCTGATCTACTGGGACTATCGATAGACTTTTCAATCGTGGAAATTTATGGCATTTAAGACACGGACGAAAATTTTGAATAATGAATATTAGTAATTGCAAAATATATACAAATGATCGCAAGCGACAAAGTCATCAATCCCTCTAAAATAACAACAATAAAGATCCCACGTCCACTGTTTGGTGATTGAAAACTGAACAATGTTCGCTATCCTGCAGAATGTTGATCAACATACGGACCAAAACACATGTAGCACTGTTGCTGTGACTGTCCCATCAGGTATTTATTTCAACATCCATGTTTAATGTTTCCAGGCTGGATTGTCTGGCTTATTTCAAATCGTTATCATGACAGCAGCGTGGTTATCACTAACTACTTTCACAACTACAACTCTTGCTCAGCGCCTGATCTAGGTCATGGTTGATTCTATTTTGATGTAGGGGTGCTGGAGTGAGTGAGTGAATGAGTTGGGTTAACGCTATTCCAGTTATATCGCGGCGTGTCAGCCTAATGTGGGGGGAAAGCCCGAAGTGATGCAGGTCTCAGACGTTTACCACTTCGGTGAAACCCACTAGCACGGGAATGGTGCTGACAAACCTAGAAACATAATCAGGGCGAACTGGGATTCGAAACCACAATCATAGGTTTCTGGCGTGCCCAAGGGACGCAACTCTGCACAGCAAATCATGGCGCCTTAGACGACTAGGCCAACCTTGCCCCCAGGGGTGTTGGATTGTTACTGATCTCTCCACGCAAACCTAGAGCCTGGATCAATCAATTTATACTTTGAATGTTATGTTATTTCAGGGTTATTTTGTACTACAAGTACATATGATTTCAACAATTAAGACCCAAAGACATGAACATGTTCTGTTCTCGTGACCCCCACCTTATGATGGGCTGTATCACTGCGATTCTAAGAAACGGTTGTCAACAACGTTCTGATCACATAACTGCAGTGAATATGTGCGCAAGAAAAGAATCCGTTTTAAAAACCAATTCTACTTATGGTAGAATTGATATAAACAGACGTGGTTTAGGCTAAAAAAAATAATAGTCTAGGTTGGCACTGCCCTCATCATCCTAAAGTTTGCCGCATGTTTCGTTTTTATTTTCATTTAAAAAATAAATAAATTAAATCCTTAAATATTACAGGCCAATGGTTGTCAAAAACTGCATTCTAGTATTTTAATCATCAAGGAATACATTTATGTAGGAGGCCCTTTCCCAGGTTGATTGTACACAACTGTTTATTTGGTTGCATACTAGTTTGAACAACAACAAAAAACCAACACACCGCCTGCCCGCACTATATTTTCAAAAGCCATTGCCTGAGAACCAATTCTTTTATTTTTTTCAGCCTTATCTTTCCAGTGAATCATAAATTATCCATGAAATTTATGCAAATCTCTACTTTCTCTCACCTGTTTGACATTAGCTTCCAGGAAGTCTCCCATTGATGACACAAGGCTGGAGAAGGAGGGCCGCATGTTCGGGTCGTCGTGCCAACACAACTCCATAATCTTGAATCTGTGCATCAGTCAAACAATAATTTTCATCATTGTTAGCAACCAACTTGACAGTACATGCTCCCACTGAAACTCTCATGCATACCATAACATATCATTCTTGTTAGAATCCAACACTATGGTGGACGACATCCTGCTCCCAGTGGGAGTCATGTCTAGACATAGACAAGAAGCAATTGTAAATGTTGTTTGTTCATTTATACACTTTACAACAGAGTCTGCCATATCCCTGCAATAATCCAACTGTCCACAACTGAATCTGCACAAGGTAAAGAAGAAATAACATGATCAACATCCAATGGATCTGCTGACAAACTAGCCAAGTCCAAAATGCTGACCACCCAATCCTCAATTTAGTCTGCTCTTACAAGCATGAGGTATTGAGGATCTGTGGACCTACAGTGCCTTCAGGAGAGTCCTATGAAGCCTGTCTTCATCGAGCACTCGCCTATTCAGAGATTTGTCTATCCCTATCCATAGCAGATCGAACATTGCATCTAATGACAAATGAAGAAGTTACCGGAATGGTGTTTAATCATGGAGAAACATGAACCACAATGTTAGACTAACTGATACTGCTGGTGTGTGGTGACCGATGGAAGTTCATCTACATCACCAGGGGCAGTAATACTTACAACTCATCGGAGGCATATTTAGGTTTCTCCATACGATAGCCAGACTTCAGCAGTCCTATGAACTTCTCGTTTATCTCAACTCCAGGGTAGGGGTTTCCTCCTGAAGTGGACAAAACATAATATCATGTCTGACTCTAGTTGTCTAGCCCTCCCTTATTACATGACTAGCTGTCTATTATTACATGACTAGCTGTCTCTTATTACATGACTAGCTGTCTCTTATTACATGACTAGCTGTCTCTTATTACATGACTAACTCATCACTATTACATGAATAGCTCAGCCACATTATGTGATCAGCTCTCTCTTATTACATGACTAACTCAATATTATTACATGACCAACTCACTATTATCACATGACTAACCTTCCCTTATCATATGACTAACTCTCCCTTATCACATGACTTACTCACCATATCACATGAGTAACCTTCCCTTATCATATGACTTACTCTCCCTTATCACATGACTTACTCACCATTATCATATGACTAACCTTCCCTTATCATATGACTAACTCTCCCTTATCACATGACTTACTCGCCATTATCATATGACTAACCTTCCCTTATCATATGACTAACTTTCCCTATCACATGACTTACTCACCATTATCACATGACTAACCTTCCCTTATCTTATGACTAACTCTCCCTATCACATGACTTACTCACAATTATCACATGACTAACCTTCCTTTATCATGACTAACTCTCCCTTATCACACGACTTACTCGCCATTATCACATGACTAACCTTCCCTTATCTTATGACTAACTTTCCCTATCACATGACTTACTCACAATTATCACATGACTAACCTTCCCTTATCTTATGACTAACTCTCCCTTATCACATGACTTACTCACAATTATCACATGACTAACCTTCCTTTATCATATGACTAACTCTCCCTTATCACATGACTTACTCGCCATTATCATATGACTAACCTTCCCTTATCATATGACTAACTTTCCCTATCACATGACTTACTCACCATTATCACATGACTAACCTTCCCTTATCTTATGACTAACTCTCCCTATCACATGACTTACTCACAATTATCACATGACTAACCTTCCTTTATCATGACTAACTCTCCCTTATCACACGACTTACTCGCCATTATCACATGACTAACCTTCCCTTATCTTATGACTAACTTTCCCTATCACATGACTTACTCACAATTATCACATGACTAACCTTCCCTTATCTTATGACTAACTCTCCCTTATCACATGACTTACTCACAATTATCACATGACTAACCTTCCTTTATCATGACTAACTCTCCCTTATCACATGACTTACTCGCCATTATCATATGACTAACCTTCCCTTATCTTATGACTAACTCTCCCTATCACATGACTTACTCACAATTATCACATGACTAACCTTCCTTTATCATGACTAACTCTCCCTTATCACATGACTTACTCACCATTATCACATGACTAACCTTCCCTTATCTTATGACTAACTCTCCCTATCACATGACTTACTCACAATTATCACATGACTAACCTTCCTTTATCATGACTAACTCTCCCTTATCACATGACTTACTCACCATTATCATATGACTAACCTTCCCTTATCATATGACTAACTCTCCCTATCACATGACTTACTCACCATTATCATATGACTTACCTTCCCTTATCACATGACTTACCATTATCACATGACTAACCTTCCCTTATCATATGACTAACTCTCCCTATCACATGACTAACTCTCCCTTATCACATGACTTACCATTATCACAAGACTAACCTTCCCTTATCATATGACTAACTCTCTCTTATTACATGACTTACTCATCATTACTACATGAATAGCTTTCTCCTATCACATGACTACGTCTCCCTTATCACATGACTAACTCTACCTCATTAAATGACTAACTTCATTACATGATTACATCTCATTAATTACACAGGTAGTTCTCTATTATTACATGGTATTTACCATTTTTTGTATCACTGACAACAGACTAATCTGTCGATCTAATATTCCATTACATAAACTTACAACTTATTAACATAAGCTCCACATAAATTAAACAAACAAATGTATTAACTAATGCATCTATGTGATGTTATGTCTTACCTAAAGAAAACAGCTCCCAAATAAAGACTCCATATGACCATCTGAAATGTAGAACAGTATCATTAATTACCTTTTTTTTCAATCATTCACACATTTGACATCAAATTGTCTATTTATTCATTCATATTTTATGCAGATTTCTTTTATCTTTTTATTTTTTTATAATGTTTCCAAGTACACACACACACAAAAAAACAGCCACATATTAGTACAACATAAAAAAGTAAACATTACATATTTAGATATGAATAGATACAAATATACATATACACAGTTTTATATTAACTTAGGGGCGGTCAGGTAGCCTAGTGGTTAAAGCCCATTTCTGGTGTCCCCCCACCGTGATGTTGCTGGAATATTGCTAAAAGCGGCATAAAACCATACTCACTCACTCACTCACTCACTTTATATTAACTTGCTATCATAGCATAAATCTTTAGGATTTTTATCTAGATTTTAGCAATATTGCAGCTTAAATCATGGAAATAACAAAATATGTTTCCATGAATTTTACTCATTTCAGGAATCAAAACCAGCCAAACAGTTGGATGAAGAACACCTTAACCATTGGGCTACCTCATCACACATCACAGCTGTAGTTCATACATCAATCACGATTTAATTGAAACAGTTTACATAACACCAAAAAACAATGGTGTGCCTACCATAACAGCAGAAATTGCCAATGGTTTTATACCACTTTTGGCAATCTTCCAGTAATTCCATAGAAGGGGACATCAAAACTTCACATTTTGTTTCTCAATGAGGAATCAAACAAGATCTTCACCAAGCCAAGCGGACACATTAACCACTGGGCTACCTAACTTCTGACAACATGACTAGTCTGCAGTTTTTGACAGCCTCCCTATTCCAAGAACAGTTCCTCTTGGACCAGCTTGTGATATGGGCACTTATTCTGCAGGCATTTGAGGTCAAAGCCTTTGATAGGCATTTAGAAGTTGCGAGAACATGAATACATGACACTTTTTTATGGATAGCAACTACTTTTTATTCTTTGTACAAATGTCCACTTACACATCACTCTTAGTGGTGTAGATCCTGTGTGTGAAGGACTCCAGGGCCATCCACTTGACCGGAACTGGACCCTGCAAACCCCAACAATCATTGGGTTAGACAAGAGCTACACAGTCAAGTTTGACATGCAGCTAAATTTATCATCTTAATTCATTGAAACATGTCAGCATACTTGAAAAGACACTGGTTGGTCGATGAGGGGGGTGGGGTGGGGTGGGGTGGGGTGGGGTGGGGGGTGGGGGTGGGTGGGGGTGGGGGGGGGGGGGGTGGGGGGGTGGGGGGTGGGGGGGTCTCAACAACCCTGCTAAGACCAAGCATCTATCTGTGTTCTGGATCTGGACTATGTCATTCATAATATCCACAAAATGGACCCCTGGAAGAGATGCATGCATGCTATATCCTAAAACTTGCAACTTAAGTTGTCAGTGTTATATCAAGGTATTACCAAACAATGGAATCTTGTTCACTCCAAATCCACTGACATTGGTACCATATTAAGACATGTGTCCCATGGCGCCTGGTCAACAATGGTCTGATATTGGTACTGGGATCTGACATTGGGACTACATTAAAGACTTGTGTCCAATAGCACCTGGTCATAATGGTCTGACATTGGTACCACATTAAAGACACGTGTCCCATGGGGCCTGGTCAAAAATGGTCTGACATTGGTACCAGGGTTTTACATTGGTACCACATTAAAGACATGCGTCCCATGGCGCCTGGTCAAAAACTGCTTTGCCTCAGACATCTGGGTCTCTCATGGCCCCTGCAAAGTATAGTTTGTTCTTGTTTTTTTTTTATTAATGGCGCACTCAGCAATATTCCACCTGTACATCACCCTGTAAATAATCGAGTCTGGACCAGACAATCCAGAGATAAATATTGTGAGCAATGATCCATGCCATCGGGGTACAATGCCATTAACCAAGAACCTGATCTCCTGATCTTTTTGGCCCACCTTACGACCAGCATAGGTTGCTTGGAACCAGCATAGGTTGCTTGGGACCAGCATAGGTTGCTTGGGACCAGCATAGGTTGCTTGGAGTGCCAGCATAGGTTGCTTGCGACCTATCCCAACCAGGAAGCCCCGTGGGGACCCTGCACAGAAGAGAAGCTGTTAACAAATCCAACAAAACACTGTCTGTGACACAGCTCTGCACTGTTGTACTCACATCCCCCTTCTTCTTGTATTCTGCGTCCTTGTAGCAGTCCTTGGCCAGGCCAAAGTCACAGATCTTGACCACATTGTCCTCCCCAAGGAGCACATTCCGTGCTGCCAGATCCCGGTGGATGTACTGAAACAGACCCATGTTTAAATGTATATACCATCTACACAATAGTTTGTGGGAAACGTGGTGCTAGTATGTCACAGACAATACACAAAGAGGACTTATCCAAATATTTCAATTCTTAAGAAACTAATCCAAATAATGAAATTTGTATTCAGTTTTTGCACTGGAAATCTGTTTAAAAAATACATATTTTTGAGAAAAAGTGGTGATTGTAAATCACAGTTAATACAATAAGAGGATTTATCCAAATATTCCAATCTTCATAAGAAATTAACACAAATAACAATGGAATTTGTATGCCTAAAATCTGCAAAACAATTATATAATTTGTCGTGGTAGCTATTCTAACCTTCTTGGATACAATCGAAATCTGTTCAAACAAATAAATAAATTGTGGTAGCAGTTAATTTCCTAACATCCGTATCACTAGTGGATACAATTAAAATTTGTTTAACAAACGAATAATTCATTGTAGAAGCTATCCTCCTAACCTTCTTGGATGCAAGGTATTCCATCCCTCGTGCTACTTGAAATGCCCAGCAAATCAGATTCTTTGTTGTCAGTGCCGGACCAATCAGATCAGCACTGTTTTCTGGCACAGCAGCCTTGTTGACGTAATATGGCACTGGCTTCTCGTTCTGAGCCTGACGTTTCTTCTCCAGTGCAGGGTCTGTGTATTCTTCCATTGTGTCCTTGAAGGAAGACTGGTTCTTGATCAAGTAGTTGCGCAGGTTTCCAAACAGGCAGTACTCCACAAGAACATACAGTTCACCTGTCAACAGTTTCCCCAGTCAGAGTTACAGAGTGTCAGAAGTATTTTGTATGCATATAATATTTAAACATATTTTTATTTCAAAAGATAATCTGGATCGGTAAACAAGCAAAACTTGCTTCTGTAAATACCTCTCCAGGTAATAACTTAACAACAGCTGGTAATCTGCAAGATAGTGCTAAACACAAATATACAAATGCACAAATAAAATACACGAAGCTAATATATATTGAAGACAGTGGTGTCTGTGAAATAAAATAACAATTTTTTTCTTTTTAAATGCATAAAATTAAAGCTACTCAAATCTTTTGCTTTTGACAATGAAATCATGAACTGATCAAAGGATATCCATGTTTGAGAACTGCTGACTGAACTATTGTCATCTAATATTGTTCTTAAATCATACCCAGGTATATAGAAATACATAGTGTTTCTGATATTGTCATATTTCTGACAGGTAAAGAAAAAGTGAATTGTATACAATGTTGACTATGATCCAGAAAGGACTATTATGATATACAGGGATGAGAATGTTTTTTCAGACAAACACATTGAAAGCTAGCTAGGGTCTGGAGGAGTAGAAGACTTACACATGTATTGTAAAGACCTATGCGAAACCACAGAATATCCTCAGTCCAGGAAATAAAGATTTAATAATTTGAATACAATGTTCATCAATTAATCACAAATGATAAGCCCTTCAAGGAAAGCAAACACGTCATATGTGGACTAAATATGAGTAAATACCGTATTTGATGTAATAAGCGCCCCGCTCTAATAAGCGCCCACGGTAATAATTGTTAACATATTGGCTAGTGAACAATCCCAATAAGCACCCCTTCCGATTGATCAATGTACACAAGACTTATTTATTCGTCTATAATACGCACTCGTGTGTTATATGCACCCTTAATTATGGGCAATTAAATTCTGAAAAAATATATCTGTCGTATATAAACATTTCAGGCTGTAAGCATAAACCACAAAATGTATCTTTCAACTCTGTTTTTTTCACCAAAATAATATTCTAATAATCGCCCCCTATTTCTAATTTTGAGAGCGCCCTGGGCACTTATTACGTCGAATACGGTACATTTCATTGATGCTTTCAGCAGCATCCTTCAAAATGTATCAAAGCAGCAACTTGGATACTATAACAGCAAGCAACTGTCATAGCGACCAATTTGGGACAGCCTCTGCACATGTTTTGTTTTTAAATAATAACATAAAAAGTATAAAACGTTATTTGCAAATTAATTCTTCAGTACAGTTTTAAAACAATGTCTGCCAAAGCACTGCCCCCTGGTGGTGAAATGCTGTAGTTAGTCAACAGTAATTAATCAGTGACATAGTTGCACAGCTCGTTCAGGATGACAGACAGCCATCTGGGATTAGCATCTTATAAATAATGGTAATTAAGTGATTCAAGGCATAAACATGGATAATTACAGGGTAATTTGCCTCTGTTCATTCAGACAAAGGCCGTCCCAAATCAGTTGCTATGACAGAACACTTCAACTTTCTAGATTTATCATGAAGGCATACAGACCTAGTTCACTCTGCCTCATTCAAACACTGTTTTTCAGATTACGTTCACGAAGAAATACCTAAGATAATTAGTCTCTCTTTTTAAATAACATGTTTATCTCATCAAATGATCTGACACAACTGATATTTGAATGAGAAGCCCAGAATGAAGTACTTACCAAAGCGAATATTTTTGGTGACAGCTCCGAGAAGGTTGACAATATTAAGATGTTGACCGATGTGGATGAGGATCTTCAGCTCTGACAGCAGAGCCATCATTTGTTCCCGATCAGTACAGTCTGCAACAACCAGATTTATTCCAACTATATGATGGCGGTCTTGTCAAGATTCAAGATTGTCATCACTATAGATCGTCAGATTGTTATTGCGACTAAGATCGACAGATCAACGTATATCATTGTTTCATGGTACAAGGGATCGACCTACATCGATGGGTCGACAGAGATAGTGAGGTTGATGTGGATCATAGGATCAACAGCAATCACCTGCGTGTACAGTTCACACAGTCTCTATGGTTCTACCGAGTGTGCTTGATCAGATGATTGTTGTTAATACCTTGCTCCTAAGGATTGTTATCACTGGAGTTTGTACGATTGATACAACATTGCTCTTCTCTTCAGGATTGCCTTCACCAATAATCGTTAAGTTGCCTCTTATGACAAGCATGCAAGCATGGGTTGCTGAAGATCAATTCTAACCAAGATCTTCATGGGGTTCAACAACAAGAAGCAATGTTGGCTGGTATTTCCCATTCTGACATTACTGGGGCGGTCGGGTAGCCTCGTGGTTAAAGCATTTGCTCGTCACCCTGAAGACCTGGGTTCGATTCTTGACATGGGTACATTTCTGGTGTCCCCCGCCGTGATGATGCTAGAATATTGCTAAAAGCAGTGTAAAACCTTACTCACTCATGCTGACGTTACTTATCAATTACGTCATCGCCCAAAAGAAGGGAAATCCTACTTACTTAATGGCACCTTTACCTTAGTGAAGTTTCATGAGTATTACAGTCCCAATCAGCAACTTGTATACTGTATCAGACTTGGAGACATTTACCAAATCACACTCATCATAAGAGAAATTATGTGGGAAGTTATTGATACAATTGATGGAGACAGACATTCTTCATAAACAAAGGTAGAGTGAGGAACAGCCTGACAACACTGAAGACACACATACATTCAAATTTTTCTCGAGAAGATCCTGGTTAGAATAGGTCTTCAGCAACCCATGAGACTATGCTTGTCGTAAGAGGCGACTAAGGGATTGGGTGGTCAGACTCGCTGACTTGGTTGATGCATGTCATTGTATACCAATTGTGTGACATTGATGCTCATGATGTCAATCACTGGATTGTGTGGTCCAGACTCAATTATTTGACTGCTGTCACATGGCTGGAATATTACTGAGTGCAGCGTTAAACAGCAAAGAAAGAAGAAACATTAATATGTGAGTTTCCATTGCCTTTAAACAAGCTCCTACCTTTGACCATCTTGACTGCCACGATAGACACATCTTCACAATCCATGATACCGATCGCCTCGGCCTTCATCACCCGACCGAAAGCTCCCTGACCAAGGATCATACCTGTGTGGACATGATTGAGTGAGTGAGTGAGTGAGTTGTGTGCACAGTACTTCAGTCATATCAAGTCATATCAAGTCATGTCAGTGAGAGGTAGGAGAAAAGCCCACAGTGACGCAGGACTACGACCTATAACCACTTTGGTTAAACCCATACGCAATGAGTCACCTCAACAAAGCCATAACATTAGTTTTTGCCAGGGATCTGGAAACCGGTCTGTGCGCCGGACTTGTCCGACTGTGACTGCAAAATATCTGATTTGACATAGGGCCAACTGGACATTTTAAGATTTGCCAACAGACATTTTCGAAAAAAGTATAAGCCGGACATTACAACCTGAGACCGTATATCATAAAACTTTTTGCTGAACATAAATTGGGAGATTTGTAAGGCCAATTTGGGAATTTGTACTGACATTTGCTGCAGATTTTGGGCTGAATATTGGCCTCTGAGCAGGTCCAGATAAATCCCAGTGAGATCATTCCCCACCATACGTGACACAGAACCTCGTATTAACCCCTAATCTAAAGGAAGGGGCTTCTTGTTAGTTCAATGTCCTCAAGAACATCCAAAAGAAGCTGGTTACACATAAGGATCGAAAGGAGAAGGATGAAATGCATAGTGTGAAGTAGGATAAGTTTAAACATGTGTATACGATCCCTAAATCAACAAAAGTCCCCTCGTAAAATCCTGTGTACTGATGTCAGTGAACACGCCATTTTGTTAAAAAAAAAAGTCGTTTTATTTTGTGTAGAAAAAACATCATATTCTGTTTTACACATTGAGATTTTCCATTCCATGAACGAAAATTAGGTGAGATGTAGAGTCAAGTCTCATTAATCCGACACTCATTAATCCAACAATCAGCTTTATCCGACACTTATGATTGGAACCAATTAAATCAGCGCTATTTAGACCCGTTAATCGGACAGTCTCGCACTCCGAACCTGACACACCTAATTTGCAACAAATTACCAAAATCACTCATTAATCAATCTCGTTAATCCGACACTGTGATCAGTGTACGTCATTTGCCCGTGAGTACACAGCCCGTGTTTTGATGCGAGACGAGTCTTAAGCTTTGCGGTACCAGTTTCAAACTTGCGACTTCTATTCCAGACTATGTTTTTAACGAACGTTGATACTACTTAATTTCGTTTATCCGACATACTCATTAATCCGACATAATCATATGCAACCAACCATGTCGGATTAACGGGACTTGACTGTTTAGTAATAAAACAACCAATGTCGTCTTTCTCCGATGTACGTTGTCACAGACATAGAACCAGCATGGTGTCAAGTTTTTAGTAATTCATTACATTTGATGATAAAGCTAGTGCTCCTTTAATAATGGTTCAACATGAGTATATATTTATGTCGTTCAGATATTAGGAAGTATTTTGTTCACTCACAGTTTCTGAAAGGCTGCTAAATCAAAAAATTGTCGCACAGTACTTTTCTCGGTGTAGGATAAGATAAAAATGGAAGAAATTTGCTTTCTTAATGCATTTAAAAATCTCGGACAACTCTTGAGTGTTTTTTTTTAAACCGGCTTAATATTTGTAGTTAAATTTACACCATCAGATAGGATATTTAATATTGTACATCTCTGCACGATCTCAACGATCACTTTTCAGATCTTATGAAAATGTTTGTGAGAAAATAACTCAACATCCAGAGGTTAGCCACTGGGCTACCCACTGCCCCCACCATAAAGAGATTTCACAGAATGACAACCCACGTACCAAGTCGAAGTCTGTCTTTAGGAAATTCCCATTTAGGGTCATAGGGGAGACAGGCTGTCTGCTCGTCTATGGGCAGGTCTGGGTTGTAGTCTCCCTTGGGCTGCATCAGGCACTGCTCCAACTCCTTGTGCTGCAAACAGACGATGTGTTGTATAATGACAAATAGTTACCATGGATCTCACAGAGCAATGTCGTATACTGACAAATATTTACCACACATCTCACAGAGCATTGTCGCATACTGATAAATATTTACCACAGAACTAACAGTGCGATGTCGTATACGGACAAATATTTACCTAACATCTCACAGAGCAATGTCGTATACTGATTGATATGTTTAATGGATCTAACAGAGCAATGTTGTATACTGATAAATATTTACTATACATCTCACAGTGCAATGTCGTATACTGACAAATATTTACCACACATCTCACAGAGCAATGTTGTATACTGACAAATATTTACCACGGATCTAACACAGCAATGTTGTATACTGACAAATATTTACCACACATCTCACAGAGCAATGTTGTATACTGACAAATATTTACCACGGATCTAACAGAGCAATGTCGTATACTAATAAATATTTACCACGCATCTCACAGGCCAATGTCGTATACTGACGAATATGTACAACGGATCTAACAGAGCAATATCGTATACTGATGAATATGTAAAACGGATCTAACAGCAATGTCGTATACTGATGAATATGTACAACGGATCTAACAGAGCAATGTTGTATACTGATAAATATTTACCATACATCTAACAGAGCAATGTTGTATACTGATAAATATGTACAACGGATCTAACAGGGCAATGTTGTATACCGACATATACTTACCACCGATTTAACATAGCAATTGTTTCTACTGACAAATATTTATCATACAACACTGCACAAAAAGAACAATGTCTACCTTAACTTAAAGATGACAACAAACAGCACTATGGGGTCAAATATTGGAATAGAATAAATTATGCCTACGACAATATTTGTATGATCATACATCCACTGCTTCCTCAGAAAGAATGGCATAAGAGTGAATGAAAGAGTGAGTACGGTTTTACTCTGCTTTTTTAGCAATATTCCAGAAATATCACGGCAGGGGATACTGGAATATGGGCTTCACACATTGTACCCATGTGGGGAATCGAACCTGGGTCTTCGGTGTTACAAGTCAAAACTTTAACCACTAAGCTACCCACCGCCCCACCGCATAAGAAGAATTTACTATTAAAAGTTACTTACCTTTCCATTAGATTCATAAGTAATAAACTATGTTATTAGTTATGTTTTTTAAATCGCAAAGATTATGTTAAATAATTTTTATTGAACCATTTGATACTCTCCCTTAATGAATACTTACATATCCGGCCTTCATACTCCTGACCTTGATGATGACAATGATGAGGATAATCACGATGACGACTGCCACGCCAACAACGATTCCGACATGCATTCCAGTAAAACCAGCCAATACTGGCTCTTGAAAAACAAATAATGATAGGCTTGGCAATTTTGTACAAAATTGTACCGACAAGAAAATAATATTTGTTATATAACAAAAAGGAACAGGTGTGTACTGAGCAATGTCAATGTACTTATTGGACATCATTTAATCCCTGGCTGCATCATAACAAGAAATGTTGAAAGATGATACTTGTAGCTACCCTGCCTGGCACAACATGGTCGGCTTGGAGACTGTATACTGTATCTGAGGGGGGTATCCATGTTAAGCTGCGGCATGGTATCTCAGTGGACTTGCGCTAAAGCCTGGAGTAGTACAAGCAGCCACACACACATGTGCATGCATGTTGCTATGAATAATCTTGAACGCAACATTAAACTCCATTTTACCTCGCCTAATATAACAGAGACTACAGTTGATATTTATCATAAGTGAGTGAGTGAGTTTGGTTTAACGCCCCCTTAAAAATTATTCCAGTTATATCGCGGCGTGTCAGCTTAATGTGGGAGGAAAGCCCAAAGTGAAGCACGTTTACCACTTCGGTGAAACCCATGAGCACGGGTATGGTGCTGAAAAACCTAGAAACATAATCGGGGCGAACCGGGATTCGAACCCACAATCATAGGTTTCTGGTGTGACCAAGGGACGCAACTCTGCACAGCGAATCACGGCGCCTTAGACGACTGGGCCACCCGTGCCCCACCTATATTTATCATAAGCAGTAACTTACGTCCAACAAGCAGAGTGATGTTGGAACTCTGGATTTTCCCTCCATAGTTTTCCCCTTCACAGTAGTAATACCCTGCATGGATCTTGGTTACCTCCTCAATAGTCAGCCGAGCACTACAACATGAACAGAACAGTGTAACATGACCCCAAAACTTGATTGCCTGTTGCAATGGCTACAAGGCCCTGGGCCCCGTTCCACACAGGCAATTGTAGATTTAAGACAGTCGTAAATCTATGTTAAAGTATGGGAGTTACGATCACCGTAGCGCTTCGATCGCCTTGTGGAACGGACCCCTGAAATAGAAGGAATGGAAACTGAATGGTGTAACAGACAGTCACACACCTATGCTAAATGTTGCCATGGCTACAAAGACCTGGGCCCCGTTCCACAAAGCAATCTTAGAGTTACGACAGTTGTAAGTTAATGTTAAGTAAGGGAATTACGATCATCATAGTGCTTCTTCAATACACGCAATATTTTTTTCTGTGAAAGAAGATGCACAATTTATTTCTTCATGACAAAGTTTATTTTAGGACATTTGGCATGTCCAGCATAAATATACTCACCCGCAAAAGAAACGCAAGTGGTTTTAAGTAAATAGGTAACAAACACGGAACCATAAATTGATACGAGTTTTAGCATGTAGTGAAGTCTGATGGTGTTATCAATATTTTTGGTTGCATTTTGGAAGCCCCGAGTAAATAACATGTATACTGCATACTCAACTTGCGTTTCTTTTGTGAGTATATTTCCGGTAAGGTGTTAAACAAATCATCTTCCCCTTCTCCGACCAGAATATTAAATGGCTGACACTTTTTATCCAGACCCAGAGTTCAACCTACTTCTGGAAGGATGTAAAGGTGATGTTGAAGGTGTTGTTAGCCTTGAGCTTGACACTGTCCTTATACCAGGAGACATGGGGTTTGGGGAAGCCATCGAAGGCACAATCCAGGAAGAAGGATGACAGCTGCTTGATGCTGAACTCCCCCGACGTATGATCCAGCAGGGCTGGGGGCTTGATAGCTGAATCAAAAACACACACCAGTGAGGTCACACAAACAGACACACGTGAGGTCACACAAACACACACCAGTGAGACCACACAAACAGACACCAGTGAGGTCACACAAACAGACACCAGTGAGGTCACACAAACAGACACCAGTGAGGTCACACAAACACACACCAGTGAGGTCACACAAACAGACACCAGTGAGGTCACACAAACACACACCGGTGAGACCACACAAATAGACACCAGTGAGGTCACACAAACACACACCAGTGAGGCCACACAAATAGACACCAGTGAGGCCACACAAACAGACACCAGTGAGGTCACACAAACACACACCAGTGAGGTCACACAAACAGACACCAGTGAGGTCACACAAACACACACCAGTGAGACCACACAAACAGACACCAGTGAGGTCACACAAACAGACACCAGTGAGGTCACACAAACACACACCAGTGAGACCACACAAACACACACCAGTGAGGTCACACAAACAGACACCAGTGAGGTCACACAAACAGACACCAGTGAGGTCACACAAACAGACACCAGTGAGGTCACACAAACACACACCAGTGAGACCACACAAACACACACCAGTGAGGTCACACAAACAGACACCAGTGAGGTCACACAAACACACACCAGTGAGGTCACACAAACAGACACCAGTGAGGTCACACAAACAGACACCAGTGAGGTCACACAAACAGACACCAGTGAGACCACACAAACAGACACCAGTGAGGTCACACAAACAGACACCAGTGAGGTCACAAAAACAGACACCAGTGAGGTCACACAAATAGACACCAGTGAGGTCACACAAATAGACACCAGTGAGACCACACAAACAGACACCAGTGAGGTCACACAAACAGACACCAGTGAGGTCACACAAATAGACACCAGTGAGACCACACAAACAGACACCAGTGAGGTCACACAAACAGACACCAGTGAGGTCACACAAACAGACACCAGTGAGACCACACAAACAGACACCAGTGAGGTCACACAAACACACACCAGTGAGGTCACACAAACAGACACCAGTGAGGTCACACAAACAGACACCAGTGAGGCCACACAAATAGACACCAGTGAGACCACACAAACAGACACCAGTGAGGTCACACAAACAGACACCAGTGAGGTCACACAAACAGACACCAGTGAGGTCACACAAATAGACACCAGTGAGACCACACAAACAGACACCAGTGAGGTCACACAAACAGACACCAGTGAGGTCACACAAACAGACACCAGTGAGGTCACACAAACAGACACCAGCGAGGTCACACAAACAGACACCAGTGAGGTCACACAAACAGACACCAGTGAGGCCACACAAACAGACACCAGTGAGGTCACACAAACACACACCAGTGAGGTCACACAAACAGACACCAGCGTGGTCACACAAACACACACCAGTGAGGTCACACAAACACACACCAGTGAGGTCACACAAACAGACACCAGTGAGACCACATAAACAGACACCAGTGAGACCACACAAACAGACACCAGTGAGGTCACACAAACAGACACCAGTGAGACCACACAAACAGACACCAGTGAGGTCACACAAACAGACACCAGTGAGGTCAAACAAACAGACACCAGTGAGGTCACACAAATAGACACCAGTGAGGTCACACAAACACATACCAGTGATGTCACACAAACACACACCAGTGAGGTCACACAAACACACACCAGTGAGACCACACAAACAGACACCAGTGAGGTCGTACAAACACATACCAGTGAAGTCACACAAACACACACCAGTGAGGTCACACAAACAGACACCAGTGAGGTCACACAAACACACACCAGTGAGGCCACACAAACACACACCAGTGAGGTCACACAAACACATACCAGTGAGGCCACACAAATAGACACCGGTGAGGTCACACAAATAGACACCAGTGTGGCCACACAAACACACACCGGCGAGGCAAGAATTTTCAATAGGGGCAATATGTCTGACAATATATTTTTGCTAGGCAAGACAGTTTTTTAATTGGCTTACAGATCCGCCAGCTCTACAAATAAGAAAAGCTGAAAGATAATAATAGTTCAAAAACTACATTTTATTATTCTGCCGACTGCAGATTAAAACATTCCGAACAAAAAAATAGTGCATACATGTTAAACTGTAAGACTGACCAGGCTGGCTTCATTAACACTAGACCCGTGAAGATTTGAGGTAGAATAGGTCTTCAGCAACCCATTCAGCTGCAAAAGGCGACTATGCTTGTCGTAAGAGGCGACTAACGGGGTTGAGTGGTCAGATTTGCTGACTTGGTTGATGCATGTCGTTGTATCCCAATTGTGTGGATCAATGCACATGATGTCAATCACTGGATTGTCTGGTCCAGACTTAATTATTTACAGATCTCCGTCATATAGCTGGAATATTGCTGAGTGCGGCGTTAAACAACAAATAAACAAACAAACAATCATGAACACTACATACATAGCAACATAGAGACTTTCTGTGACACAAGAAGATACTCACGCAACAGAGACAGATTATATACGTCAGCAGTAACACTTGATGTAAAGTTGGTCCCATTGCAGAAGTAGAGTCCCTCATCCTCCGGCAGAAGTGAATGGAACACGATTGTCCTCACAAAGGAGTACTCCGTCCTAAACCAATGTCAAGGTCAGCAGTCAGATCAAGCGTATAATTCGTACCTTATCAATTTTGAGATGATACTAGAAAGCTTTATAATGATTCTCACATCTAGCCCACCTTCTAAAAAGTCATTCAGTGAATAAGACTTGTATTCACTTTGAGCAACATTGTAGTGACAGATACTACTGGACATACTGAAAATCCACCTACATCATACTCATGGGTTGACTGGGATTTAAGAATTTATGCGGATTTCAAAATGTATGCTCATCGTTTCCTATTTAGAACTCCATACACTCCACTGGTCAATTATTATAAATAATAAATAAATAACTTATCTAAAACATAAAATGTAGACATTAATATGAAATCAGCACAATAATGAAACAAGAGCCCCCCATTCTATACCCATGAAGAACCGGGGTTTTCAGCAACCCATGCTTGCTGTAAAAGGTGACTGTGCGTGTCGTAAGAGGCGACTAACGAGATTGGGTGGTCAGGCTCGCTGACTTGGTTGATGAACATCATTGTATCCCAATTGCGTAGATCGAAGCTCATGATGTCAATCACTAGATTGTCTGGTCCAGAATATTTACCGTTATATAGCTGGAATATTGCTGAGTGCGGTCAACATTATGAAACAAACTAACAAATATTATCAGCCAATCAGGTAATGGTAGTCAGTCAAATGCCATGGAATCAGTTTCAATTTTCTTATACAGGGATGGATATGTTTCCAAGCGTGCCACATAGCACTTATAAAGATGGTCAGGTGTGCCCCTTGGAATTGGTTTTGTCAAAAAATTTAAAAAATCTTCATCCATCTTAGGGCTTGATAAATGTTGCTGTCTTGTGTGTGCGGTTGATTCAATTCTTTCGATGATTGTATATAAATTCTTTAAAGTTATATTATTGGGTAATTATTAACCAAATCACTGGTAGATTCCGAGAAACGTGTGTACAGCTGATTGCTACTTCTGGCTTAGTTTACGAGAAAATACACACAGTAATCTTAGATCTCTGCATATAAAACAATGCCTATCAGAACAGGAAATACAATTTAATCAGTAAATAATCATGTCTAGTGTTTTATATCTCAACTTTAAAATTTATATTGACCAAGTTTTATTGTTATGATCTGTTCGTTTCCCTGAATTCGCTGAAGGGAAACGATGTAAGTTTTTTCTGCGGATGACAAACACATTTTCATTTCAAATGTAGGGATTGTGTATGCGCTGGTGCTGGCTTCATTCTGATTCGCTTTATAGACGGGGTATATAAATTAGCATCGATTTTAAAGGCTTGTACAGAGGTCGTCATATACGTGGGGTCGCTTTATAGACGGCGAAATACAGTACCTTGTTTCAAAAATCTGTATCCTTGGGCTCTCAGTGGACACAGCTACATCTGTTGTAGAAGTGTTTAACACAACAGTTGTGTTAAGAGGAGTTGTGTCTGTTGTGTTATCCACCAACACGCTGTTATTATACAACGCCAAAGCTGACGGCATCCAGGGAAAGCTTATTTTTCGGTAGATCCAGATACTGGCTATGCATTCAAGTTTCAGATCGTCTCCCTTGACGACCTTGTCTCTGCTAGAGGTGATCTTGATGCCAGATTTGCTGGGAACTTGGTCTGAGGATCGACAGAAATAAAAGGTGTTCACATGACTCAATAAAACATTGCCCTTATGGAAATAGTGCTGTAGCATAATGGGTCATGCTTTCCTGAGAGTAAGGCCTATAAGATTGACCCAATGACCAAACACTGCTCAACAATAATTCCTGGAAGAACAATGATCAATTCCAAGACATCTTGCCAAGTTTTACAACAAGAGTGAATGAGTGTGAGAGTTTGGTTTTACACTGCTTTTAGCAATATTCTAGGAATATCCCGGCGGGGAACACCAGAATTGGGCCTCACACATTGTACCCATGTCGGGAATCATACTCAGGTCTTCGGCGTGACAAGCGAACGCTTTAACCACTAAGCTACCTGGACGCCCCTTTACATCCTAACTATTTTATTATCATTTATCTAAAGGTAATTACTCTCTCTTATCAAAACTTCCCCAAAATATTAAAAGCGACCTACCTGTAACAATGAACTTGAAATCCTTGTGTTCACCACCAATGTCATTTTTGACATCACAACGATAGATTCCAGTCACGTTTTTCACAACAGGTATGGTGCTGTACATGGATAAGTTTTTCTGCTGTATGAGGATCCAGCTGTCCTCCTCGACCGTACACAAGGTGGAGTTGCAGTCCTGATAGTACCATGTGATGTTCCCAGTGGGGTAGCCACACGTCTGACACACAAGGCTGTACTTCTCCCCCGTTGTGAACAACTTGTAGTCGGGATTAGCTGAGAGGGTCGCTGTGAGTGGCCCTGAAGTAACAGAGGTGAGGTGAGGTGAAATGGGGTTTGATGTCGTGTCCAAGTGTGTGTGTGTGTGTGTATGTGTGTGTGTGTGTGGTGTGTGTGTGTGTGTGCATGCGTGCATGTGTGTGCGTGCGTGTGGGTGCTTGTAGTAGTCTGGACTGATGTCGATTTATAGTGCTTTAATGCCGAGCGCCAGACAGGGTAACAACAAGTACCATCTTTTAAGGACTTTTGGTATGATGCGGCTGGGGATCGAACCCCGGACCTTCCGCTCTCCGGGCGGACGCTCTACCACTAGACTACGGAGGCGGTCTTCTCATGAATACCCGACTCAGACACAGTATACTGACTCCAACGAGCCAACCAGTCCTTGTTTTAGCTCCATTATGCCAGAGTGCCAGACATCTTTTAACGTCTAATGATATGACGACATCGAACCCCGGACCTCCCCTCTCCGGGTGGACGCTCTACCACTGGACCACAGAGGCGGTCAGTAATAAGGGATCTATCATTTGATTCTTGTTTAAAACAATAATATGACCCAGAGAATAATGGACACCAGATCACCATGTGATGCTGGGCCCAAAAGAATGTGTCTACTTACCATATACTTGCAAAATGACACTGGCTGTGGCGTTCATGTCAACAGTTACTGCATGGAGAGTGTAGTTCCCATTATGCACTGACGACGGAAAGAAAATCTTCAAGGCTGCTTCATCCTTGGATTGACTGAAAAATAAAAGAGGGATATAGCCATATGTTATATTTTTATCATTGCTGTTTCTGAAAGTATATTCAGCAAATCTTATTAGTGTCGACCAGCTAATCTATAATCTATAATCAGTTTCAAGTGACCTGAGATTTGCAGCTGACAACTCAAGAGATTTATGTAGACCGGCCCTCACAGAGGCTGATATTCAGCCCCAAGTCTGGAGCTAATGCCACTACAAACTGGAATTGGAATTGGCATTAAATATTTCCCAATTCATGCTGTCATAGCTATAACTATCGGACGCCGGTTGACATCGCCAGTGGAAAAAAATGTGAGATCTTTGACTCCGTGTATAAGACGACCCCCCTTCTTAGCCCCCTCATTTTAGGTACGAAAAACTCGCCTTATACACAGCGATATACGGTAATGTTACAGCTTTGTAAAGCTGTCTTGTATATATTTCACTGATAACAGGACCAATATATAGGAAGATGCTTTAATGCTTAATCGGACATTATTGCATTAAAAGCAATGTTAAAATTTAATGTTGAAACTCCTCAGAATTTAGGAAAATAATTACTTAAAAAAAGCTCATATTTTGAACAAAATAACAAATTTTTACCAATTTGCCTACCAAGGGCTCTTAGTTTGGAATCCTAAATACATAACTGCAACGGATACATCAAGCTAATAATTTGGGCTGGGACGAGTCCAAATTTACTACCCGGGTACCCACCCCCCTATTTCCTGACCCTACCCGGATACCCGCTGTAGGTCTTATAAGGTAGGTACAAACTGTCCGATTGAGAAAAGTTTGACCGTAGTCCTGGCAAAATGTGTTTAGATACGCGTATAAAACGATCTGGTGTATACACTGAAGCTGACTGAAGTTTTATTTTCATTCAAACATATAAAAATCAGAAGGAATGGGCGTAGTTGTCAGAAAGAACTGCGAACATTAGTGATAGTGTAACCATAGAGTTCTAGATAATTTTTGTCTTTAAACTATATATCATGTGACTAACCACGGGTCCGGGTAGTCCTGTGGGTACCCGGGTACTACTCAGTACCCACCCGCCCGAGTACCCAAGTTACCCGTCCCAGCCCTACTAATAATCATCCAGTGGATAAATATCAGGACATCATGATTGGCCATGAATCTGGGTTATCAGCATGTCGAGCAAATGCTTCAATCTCTGAACTACCTGGAAGTCCATGTTATTTTAGAAATAAACGACGAGTGGAAGTCGTTTATCGTACAATAAAACACTGCGGCAAGAATAAACAATGAGGGGCGCCAATTTACGATGTCATCATGTTGCAAGCCCATGTTCAAATCTCTAGAAATGATGTCATGATAGAACAATGTTTTATCGTGAAATAAACCACTATCCATTCTTCATTGTACTTTGTGATTTATCACGTAGCTATCTTGATATATATACCAATAGATCCATAGTCCTATTGTTCTTAAGCATTTTTCATATAGTGGAAAGCCTGCACACTCAGTTGCTTGTATTCATGCCCAGGGCTCTTAACTTTCAAACTTAACTGAAGAGTCTTACATCACCACAGATGTATAAACATCCTTTTAATAGGCATCTAATGTTGCTTTTTGACAATTTTTTCATATAAAAAAACCATGAAGTGAATCTAACATGCAACCACACATATCATGTTTAGTATGTAAACCAACTGTTTTCCCACTGAGATGCTGGGGCAGGGGATAAAAGGGTCTTCAATTTTACATGTCACTGATTACAGTTGTCTCCGTGCTGCACATAGTCTTTCTATCGCCTGCTGTCATTGAATTTGTTTTGTACCGCGACTACTGTATTGTTGCACTTTAAGGTATCCTGATATTTTTATATTCTTTCTGGTAAATCTTGTTAGATGGTTCATAAGTCTGTTAAAACTCCTCCTCGGTTTTAGTTGAAAATGTAAAACCATGAGTTAAGAGAAAACCCTCAGGTCTTGCTCAGTCTTATGTTTTAACTACAACACTTAATATCAACTATTTCAAAAGATCAGCGATAATTTTTTTTAATAATAATCAAGGGAATCAACATGATCAACGAACAATATTTGGGTAATTTGTCCATAAAAACAACACTGATGATTGAAGAACTTACTACTGCTTGAAGTTGCTTTCATTGGTGATAAGATGTCCGTTGAAATACCAGTATAAATCAGGCTTTGGGAATGCGTTCATGTCCATCCGGATCACTGCCATTTGACTTCCAAGAGTTGTCTCAACCACATCTTTCTCTGGCATCAGATACACTTCGGATTTCTCTGTTGGAGCAGACGGCAACAGAAGCCATATTGAATTCATCAATATTCTGTCACAATGTGACATCATGTTAGCACTCATTATTAGTGTAATGGTTTTAATACGGATCATTCATAATAGTGAGTGAGTGAGTGAGTTTGGTTTTACGCTATTGTTAGCAATATTCCAGCAATATAAAGCGAAGGACACCAGAAATGTGCTTCACACATTGTACCCATATCGGGAATCGAACCCGGGTCTTCATGTGAACGCTTTAACCACTAGGCTACCCGACTGCCCCATTCATAATTGAATGAGATTCAATAGGTTATAGGAGAACCACTGCATACTCAAGACCAAATGACTGCAATCATGTTCGGATTCATCACCTGGTTATCTTTTAGAAGCACATATCTCCAAACTCCTCTCTCTTTTTCTGATGATTAAACACTTCTGGTGTTTCATTAGGCTAAAGAAAGACTTCAAATGTTTTTCAATCAAAATTGAAACAAATTTAAAATTTCAAATTCGGATAGAATGTACTTTGCCAGTCCCTATCGGATTTATAAATTCTTTGCAACTGATCATTTAATTGTGTAACTGGGATAGATGGGGGTCAAATGGGATTTGACCTCCTTCAAGTTCTTGTGAGCAACTGTTGTGTTCTTTACAGAAGATATGGTGAAAAAATGGACACGATCATCCTCACTGCTTGTGATGCAACACTTACCGTAGACATACAGTATTTTTGAGACTGACTTAGTGAGGTGATTGGTCTCAGTTTGGCAGGTGTACACGCCCTGATCATCTGTATTGACATCAAACACCTTTATCTGGGTTGAGACTTCATCGTACATGTAGTTGGAAGTCCTTATCGGATTTTTGCGTGGCTTCATTATGTAGTAGTTTGACTTCACCTACAGAAATTGACCAAACAAATAGTAGAAAAGTTCAAAACTTAACATAATTTAGGGAGCAAACATTTGATTTCGGGGGATGGGAGGCGGGATTGTTTTCTAAAAAAATAATCAATCCTATTTTTACTGAAAATTTGAAACTTTTACAATAAATTGCATATGTATACTTATCCTATCTCACACTATGCATTTTTCCTTCACTCTTTGATCCTGGTGTGGAAGCATCCCAGAACAAAGTTTCCAGCTTCAAAAATCATCTCACCTCAGCACATCCCTTTTATCACAAGGTCGCTACCATAAACAATTGGTCACGCACCACTGCAATCCTGCGCGTCCCAACCCTGTGCGATCTGATCACGTGACTGAGCCTCCAGGTTGGTGTAACTGTGATGAGTGGATGGTTGGGTGGGTGGGAACCCGACGAAAAGAAAATAAACAATAAAATAGATTGTTGCATTTATTGATGTATGTACAAAATATGCAACACGGGGCTGTAGCACGCAGGTGTCCTCATCTGTGCTGACGGGCTGCTGTCATTTGCTGGGCAATCACGAGTGGACCCAACTGATAGAGTCCCTGGACAATAATCTTTGAGATGTCTCGAAGGTAGTGGGACGCAAACACTGTATCTGATCTCCAGTAGCATCCCTGCAAGATGGTGGATGAAGTGCAGGAACTATCTAACGCCATGGTCGAAGCACTTGTCTCATGTTGGTTGGAGGCTACCGGAGGTGGTAATCCCACAAAGCTCTCAAAATAACTGAACGCATCCTAAATTTGCAGCTATCGATATTAGGATAAAAAAAAAACATGCGGGAACAGCGCAAGGTTTCAGATGCCTTCAAGCAGACTCTCAAGGCTCTGACAGAACATAATGATAGATCTTCATCTGGTCCCAATATCGAGGAGAGCGGCAGGATGGTAAAACAGCCAGTCGGTTGCCCAGGAAGTTGGTACTTAGAAATGAAGTCCCAACGTAATCCCAAAAAGACTTTGCCATGGGTATGTTATTCAAACTGGACACCCTTTACATCTAAGGCATGGATCTCACTGATGCGAGCTGCTGTAGCCAGAGCAATTAAGAAGATCTTTTTAAACGTCATCTGCACTTTTTTCCTCCAAAGGTTCATACTCTGCCGATGCCAGATGATGGAGAATGATGTTGAGATCCCATGTCAGAGGTCTAAATAGAGATGACTGATCAATGCCTGAAGCTCCGCAACAGTAGAAACCTTGAAACCCATAATCAGGGCAATGACAGAACCAATAGCAGCCAAACAGGTAGCTTATGTGGAGCCTTTCAACTTCTTGGTAGTATGTAAACGTTAAAGGTATTCAGTTATTTGTTGTGGATGGAGATGATATATCTCAAGCAGAACAATACCTTTCAAAAGCCTTCCACTTGTGGTTGTACAGAGCATTAGTAGAAGTGTGATGCACGTCGAAGGACACCTGGCGATCCTCTGATTAATAATGATCAGTTGAGGCATGTTGAGCAGTTGCTATGGCAACATGTTGATCACCCAAGTGGTGTAGACCTGTGGATGACTGTCAAACAATCGACCTGTTGATGGTTGTCGATCTCCCGAATGGTGTCGATCTGTGAATGTTGAACTGTTGATCTGTCAACCTGTTGATAGCTGTCCAACTCCCGAATGGTACTGATAAGGTGAATCATTGGCGATCCTAAAAATGATGTTGATCTGTCGATAGTTGATGATCCATTGATGTCGATTAGACGAGTGATGTCGATCTATCAACCTGCTGACCTTTCGATCCATTTGAAAGTATTGATCCATCAATACCCGTCATTCCCTCAGGACATTTAGATTGGGCGATGCATGTAGATCCATCTAACTGTCGATTTGACGATCCCCCGAGAGCTGGTGATCTGACGATGTATAGTGATCTCTAGAGTCGATCTGTAGAGGACTGTCGACCCCCTGTACTAGAGCGATGTCTGTTGATCATCGATCTACCGAGTAGTCCTGCGACTGGGCTCGATTCTTGTGACCATGGCTAGTTGGTCAGTGTGCTTAACATTGTCTGATCTCCTTGAGGGAAGATCTGACGAATGGAGGGAGTAGTGTTGTCATCAGCAACCAGTAGGGTGCCGCAATCTCCCTGGTTGGAGACGGGAGGAGAGGCGACTCTCAGCTGAAGGTCAAGGTGTATTTCAGATGGCAATACTACATTCAGAGGACGAGGTGGTACAGAGACCTTAGATTTCTTCACTGATGATGGTCTATGTTCCGAATCTTTTCCTGTACATTTAGAATGCCGGTCTACCGATCTCTTCTGACACTTGCTAAGGTAAGGCTTGAAATCCGTCTTACTAAGATATGGCAACATTGTAGACGTCTGTTGTTAGAACATGGTCCCCTGCAATCGCAACACACGGTGTGTGGGTCCAATGGTGAAAACAATTGCTTGCATGTTTGCACAAGGGGCATGACGGCTCCATCGTTTATGTGGAATCTTGATGGCGGTTGTTGTTAGAGAGACAAATAAACAGGCTAGGGATTGCAGTGGTGCATGCCCTATTGTTTACGGTAGCGACCATGGTGATGAAAGGGATGTGTTGAGGTGCGATGTTGTTTGAAGCTGCAAACTATTTTCCACACCAGGATCGAAAAAGAAGAGAGAAATGCATCATTGGAGATAGAAAAAGGTTAAAAATATAGATCAGATATTTTTTTGACGACAGGTGTCCAAAGAATATAGTTTCTTAATTTCATTTATTTAAAAATACTAACTGAGCACCTTTTAATGTCTGAAAAAAACCAATTGAGCTCTTAAACATTACAAAAAGAAATGTCTCATCTCACACCAAAATACTCTCCTAGAATTATCACAGTCTATCAGCTTAACGAAAGTCCTCAGTGATGCAGGCTGTGAAGATGTTAAATAGCTAATAACGCTTTGGAGAATGCTTTCGACTGAACAAGGATTATAATCAAATGACAAATGACCAGTGTATCCTGCTGTGGCCAAGGGATGCAATCCTGCACAGCCAATGGCAACACCTACTATTGTTTGTTTGTTTGTTTGTTGTTTAACGCCGCACTCAGCAATATTCCAGCTATATGATGGCGGTCTGTAAATAAACGCGTCTGGAAGAGACAATCCAGTGATTGACATCATGAGCATCGATCCATGCAATTGGGATACGATGACATGCATCAACCAAGTCAGCGAGCCTGACCACCCGATCCCGTAAGTCGTCTCTTACGACATATAGTTGCCTTTCACGGCAAGCATGGGTTGCTGAAGATCTATTCTACCCTGGATATAAACACCTAAGACCACTTGGACATTTTACCTTACCTCATAAACAGCAATGGGCAATCTCAATTCTCTAATAAGGAAACTCACCCCTTTCATTTTAAACAACCATTCGATGAAAATCACGTGACCTCTATCAACGTTCACTTTACAGGTGAGTGTGAAAGATTCCCCAGCCCAAATCCGTGTGTGTGGCGGACTGATTTCAATGAAGGGATATGGAGTAGAGGGTGAATCTGTCATGGAGAAACATGATATCATTGTAAGAGTAGTGTAGCTCACCTGTTAATAGTAAACATTCCCTTTCAAAATCAAAACAAATCTTTTTAATATTCTCCAACAACAGTACACTACGCTTAGAACGAACATAATTATAACAAACTGATCGCAATAACAAACTGTTTCTTTGGTCCCGGACATTTGCTGTATATTTTATCATAAAAAATTGATGGATATAATGAACACGTTTACAATGAAATAATGTATAGCGAACTCTTTGTGGTCCCATGTGTACTCTGATAACAAACTGTTAATCTGAGCAGCTCACGTGTCATCAATCAGCCTATCAAAACATCCACGGCCATGCGCAGCTGTTCAAAGCGTCAATAAACAATTGAAGGCAAGTGATTAATTGGATTAAGTACTGACACCTTGACCTCAATTTACACCCTCAATTAACAATTATAAAACAGTGATTAGGCAGTAGTTGTTGTGGCGTATCATCGAACTGTTTGAAAACATTGATGACATTGTGACAACACATGACCTGGGCCCTGTTCCACAAAGATGATCGTAGCACTAAGATGATTGTAAGTCCCATACTTTAACATAGACTTACGACAGTCGTAGCGCTAAGATGATTGTAAGTCCCATACTTTAACATAGACTTACGACAGTCGTAGCGCTAAGATGATTGTAACTCCCATACTTTAACATAGACTTACGACAGTCTAGCGCTATGATGATCGTAACTCCCATACTTTAACATAGACTTACGAGTCGTAGCGCTAAGATGATCGTAACTCCCATACTTTAACATAGACTTACGACAGTCGTAGCGCTAAGATGATCGTAACTCCCATACTTTAACATAGACTTATGACAGTCGTAGCGCTATGATCGCTTTGTGGAACTGGGCCCAGATCCGTTTTCAACCAATGTTCAAAGCAAAACAGCAAAAACAGATTTCCTGACTGACGGCAAGTCACTCTTGAGACTTGTCAATGAAGCCGTATCAAAAATATATTTACAACATGTATTTACTTATGTTAAATATTTTATGTCATTTATGAGATAAAAAAACATTGTACAAAGACAGTGCACACTTTTGTTATGTATCGAGTAACATGATGTGGTCACGTGCCTTGATCCGAGATGTCTGACAGTCGAAATGCTTATAATGAACAACAGATATCGCAAACGAAAATCAGTGGTCACTTTGAGGTTGTAATAACAGTAGTTTACTGTAGTTTGAAATAAAATTCTGTGGTCATTCTAGTTATCTTCCTGGCCAATGTTGACAGAATTTTCACGAAGTACAAAACACGAACATGTTCTAGTCTCAAAATGGCTGAAATAAGGCTAAAAAAAATAATAGTCTTGGTTCTCAGGCACCGCCCACATCATCATAAAGTCTGTTGCATGTTTTGCTTTTATTTCCATTTTCAAAAAAAATAAAAAATCTTCACATATTCTGCGTCTCAGAACACATGACCACGGCAGTGAAATGTTACAATGCTCAAATCCAACATGGTTTTGACAAAATTATTGTAAACAAAATTTGGCTACATACTAGCTTGAACATCTCCGCCTGCCCGCACTATATTTTCAAAACCCATTGTCTGAGAACCAATTCTTATATTTTTTTAAGCCTCATGTCAATGTAACTTCCATGTGTAATGGAGGCAGTCATAGGGAGGGGAATCTGATGACTTTAACCACACTTACTGCTATAAAGCAGGGCAACTTGAATAGAGTCGGTGTAATTCTCAACCTCACAGGAGAACAATCCACCAAAGTAATAATTCGGGTAATGGAGAGTAAAGCCAACTTTGGGGTCGTAAGTGACATCACTGCGGCTGTCTACCACTTCGTTGGCCATTTGTTTGATGAGTGTGACGTTGATGGAGGGATCTGTGACGAGGCAAGGGATGATAGCACTGCGGTAGTGTCGTACACGCACAGGAATCGGGTAGCCCATCCTCTGGTTCGGTACCAATGCATGTTGTGAATCTGAAACACAATGTGATGGGTTAAATATTGCCTCAGTGTTTGCTGCACTGCCATCAGGACCCACAGACTTTGGAAGCTGCACGCCCGGACTAAATTCTTCAGGAATTCATCTAACAAACTGCAGCTCATAGTGACAAATAGTGAGTGAGTGAGTATGGTTTTACGCCGCTTTTAGCAATATTCCAGCAATATCACGGCAAGGGACACCAGAAATGGGCTTCACACATTGTACCCATGTCGGGATTCGAACCCGGGTCTTGGGCGTGACGAGCGAACGCTTTAACCACTAGGCTACCCGACCGCCCCTAGTGACAAATAGATTGACAAGGGAATTTGCTGAAGGCCATAAGGACCTATACAAACACAAGATCTACCTGCCACATGCAGGCGCATATTTCAAACAATGTATTGCCAATGTATGCCAGCTGTTCTACAAATACCACCATCAGGGTGTTTTCGAGAGACCATATACTCACCACCAAAAGAAACGCAAATACCATACATGTTGGTTAAGAATTAATCATATTCAAGAGATATTACATTGGATCGAACAAAAACGAATATACTGTTAAGTTGCATGGACCGATGCTCATGAACGCGTCACATGTGATGTCACAGATCCATGACTTGAGATGCGCCTTTTGTCTAGTGCAGGATTAGCATGTAAAGTTTGAAAATCTTATTTCCCTTCCCATAAAGATGAACGTGAAAAATTGTTATTTCGTTTTAAGTTGTAAACAGATGGTAATTTACAAAATAGATTTGTGAAAACTGCAATGCAAAAAGAAAATATCTAATAGAAAGCCTTTTTGCTCTTGCCCCATATGGGATTCGGGGGGTTGCATTGTGACCTGACTGACTCCCGATATCATGGATTGTTGGTGCTCATGCTATCGACCACTGGTCTGCCTGGCCATTCTTGGTGTATTACAGGCAATCATGACAGCCAGAATGCTGCTGACAATATTCACTCACTCACTCTTACCTTTGACAAAAATGTAGACGGCGGAGTCATCCCGGACCTTGCGTTGGTCCGCCTGGTAGTAGCAGCTGTAGCTGCCGGTGTCGTAGTACTGCGCATTGCTCAGGGTGAGACGAGATGCCGTCTTGTTAGTGCCGCCAGTAGAGACTTCCATCTTCGCAACACCACTGTCGATCTGAAATCCAGAACAAATTACATGTTTGATGGAAGTGGTGCTTGATAAGGTTGTTCATTTGTTTGTTGTTTCACGCCTCTCTCAGCAATATTCCAGCCATATGACGGCGGTCTGTAAATAATCGAGTCTGGACCAGACAATCCAGTGATTGATATCATGAACATTGAACATGCATTTGGGATACGATGACATGCATCAACCAAGTCAGCAAGCCTGACCACCCGATCCCACTTGTCGCCTCTTACGACAAGTTTGGTGATGTGTGACTGTGTGTGTGTTTGGTGATGTGTGACTGTGTGTGTGTTTGGTGATGTGTGACTGTGTGTGTGTTTGGTGGTGTTAATGCAGTTGGTGGTGTATCTGGTGGGTAGAGTGGGGTTATTGTTTATTATTTTGATTGCTATTTCCGGCTTAGTTTACGCGACAATACGCATGGTAATCTTTATCCCTGCATATAAAACAATGCCTAGCACAACAAAAAATATAACCGAAATGATAAATCATCATGTTTAATGATGTTTAATCGCAAATTTCACATTTTCATTGACAAAGTTTGTTACAGCGTTGTTCATTCACATGAATCGATACGATGTAGTTTTTTACCAACAGAAAAAAAGAGTTTGATGAAAGTGTAACCCATACATAAGACGACCCCTTTCTACAGAATCTCTTTTCTTGTCCTCAAAATTCGGATTATCTACAGTCATATATGGTAATTCTGTGATTGGTCAGCTAGTTGCATGTTTAGCATGGTGGTCTGTGTCGGTGAACCTGCGAGTTATTCATAATAGAATATCGACAACTATTTCATCAACTGATCAAGTAAACAGAATGAGCCTATCAATGAAACAAGAAGAGACGTCCACCATTCAGGCCGACAGTGTCTGCCATTCATCTCTGTCTACAACCTCAGGACATTTCACAATCCATCACACCTTCACCACAACACAACAGACTGCCTGCGCTCTTGTCATATTAGTTATCAGTTGCAGTGCAGGACAACAGTGTCAAGAATGTGGAATCATTATGCCTAATAAGACTTTAATTGGTATGATAGGTTATCAGCCATAATGACTGAAATACTTGTCTGTCTCCCAGACCAGAGAGAAAAAAATAAAAAAGGAGTCCAACTCAAGTCTAGAAAGATTTGGCAAGTTTGATTGCCTCAGTTCTGAAATTAAGGCTTGTTCTGGCCTCATTTGGATTTAATCTTTTTTATTTTGTAGATACAGTAAACTACGTTTAAAACGAACACACTTGTAACGAACTGACCGACATAACAAGCTTATTTTTTAGTCTCAGACATTTGTTGTATATATGCATATAACGAACTATGGTTATTACGAACTAAAATTAGAAGTCCCTTTGAGTTCGTTATAACTGTATTATACTGTATACAATTTTAAATAAGATAACATTATATGTAGGAGTGTCTGTTTTGTTGGCATGGGACGTTCACATGCCTCCATGATCATAGACGTAGTATTTCCAAGCATGGTACAAGCATACGACCCTATTCCCTCACTCACCCTCTCTTGTGGGCCCGGGGCAGTCACATGCCACTCCAAGGGAAAGTCTCCCTCACACAGCAGAGTAAAGTTGTCGCCAGCTTTCAGCACGACAGTGGAATCTATAAAGTTTCCAGTGATCTTTGGCCGGCTCTTGTATAATTTGTCATCAATTTCAGCTGTAAGTAAAAGAAAGTATTGTTGACATTATGACTCCATTTCTTTCAGCAATATCATATAGTTAATATTGTTGAATATATTTCAGTAAAATATATATTCTAAACAAAACAAGTTTGGGAGCAGGAATATTTTTCAGGATATTTTTGTAGTGATATATAAGCACACAATTTCATAAAAATATCAACAAAAGTATTAATGATCCCTACATTTTTGGTTCAGTATAATTGTCAAATGAAACATGAAATGAAATATGTTGAGAAGCTCTTTAATTTTGATTTTTTCAATCTTTCCCTGGATTCACAATTCTATTGGTGTTTAGTCTGGAGCAAACTATTCAATGACATTTTATGATAATACAACACAAAATGCATTCTGAAAACATAAAGAGACATATTCTTCTGTGTGCAAAGTTTGAGATGTAATATTAAAAAGATTCAAGATAAATACTGGAAATGGACACAATTGTTATTAAGATTCTGAAACCTCCTTCTGGGTTAGACACCATTGGTCATATCCAACTAGTCCGCAGCTCACTGGAACTCATGGTTTATGTTAACTAACTAGAGTTGGAGAGGAAAGCACTAGTCCTGCTAGACTTTCACTAGTGTCGGGCTCACTGACAAGTGGCCATGTCTAAATTACAAAAAGTCTATATTTCAGAATTTCTTATCAGTAAGAGATACTAAGGTCTACCTCTTGCTGGTGAGACAATTGGGAAATTACTATTTGAGGTGAACCTGTTAATTCTGCTTCACAAATGGACAAACCCTCAGAAAAGCAATAAATAATAGAAGAGAAATATCGCTAAATCACATGAGTTAAACAAGGTTGATAGGTGTGTTAACATTACATGAAGAAATATCAAATAAAGGTTGCATTGTTCTCTGGAAACAACCATCATCAGAAGATGACAAATCCCCCCAGGCCCCCACAAATTCGAAAGAACAAATCTTTTCACTGTTACAATAAGTCCAATAAGATAATTTCTATCTTATCTGTCTGTCCGTATACAAGAGTAGTTATTGAGCTATCAAAACAATATCATGGAATTGGGATTCAGAACTTTGTAATGAATATGAACAGAGTCAAAGTTAAACTTGTTGCCATGGAAACGGAAAAAATAAAAAATGTAAAATCCCTAAATAGCAGAAGGCTCCAGTTGACAACCTTGTCTATGTGTGTGCAAATTGTCATGAAAGAATACCAATTAGTTTTAGAGATATGGTTCGAATAAAATATTATTACTGACAGACAGATGAAGTTTCATAGTAAAGCATATCATAGACATTAATCTCTTTAGTAAAAACACATTATAAAAACAGATAGACTGAAATCTGGGCAATTCAACAATCCAGTGAGTGAGTGAGTGGGTGAGTGAGTGAGGTTTTTCACCACTTTTAGCAATATTCCAGCAATATTATCGCAGGGAACAAAAGAAATGGGCTTCATACAATGTACCCATATGAAGAATCAAACCCATGATGAGCAAACACTTTTACCACTAGGCTACCCCACCGTCCCTGGCCCATTTGAAACAGAAACAATAAAGACTCACTGCACGTTAGAATAATACAATACCATGTCCTTCAATCAGCTTGACAGGAGCACATGACGTCATTCATGTTTCGATAGCATATTTCCTCTTTCAACGAAGAACTTGAACAGATAATGAACTAAAGACGAGAATTGCAAGCCCTAGGGAATATCCTGGTAATTTAACCCAAACATGAATCACTCCTTCCAACAAAGTCTGCCAAATGCAAATTCACAAGTATTGGGAAATTTAATTGTAGTAGGATGAACAATACTCAGTACTCAGTCAAAGAATGACACACAGAAGGCAAAATAGGGTCGGAATGACTTTCATGCTCTTGTGATGTGGGTCAGGATTATGTGTCAATCGGTGCACTTCATTGTCGGAATCATTTTAAATAATAAACTCAAACGATTGAGAGATGAAGATTATTTACATAAAACATTAAAAACAGGTTCACATGTTATTGTGTAACACTCTCTAATAAACACTGATGGATGAAAAATATTAATTGACAAAAAAAAAATTGCAATTAAATTTCTTATTATCTCCTCTTGGAAATATTTTATGGGCAAATAACAATGGCATTAACAATGTTAATCAACTAGTTCCTAATGCATCAAGCAGAGGCCTTCTAACAAACTCAAGATGAAGCTGATCATTAGGAAGATCGCATTAACTGTGACATCATAATGAGCTCCCACTGATCAACCTTCCATTATGACACTTAGTCAGAAGCTGCATTCAAATATTTCATTGTGCCAAGGATCCAAGCTGGCGGACTATTCTGTTTGGACATCCAGGATTATCAAGTGGATGCTCCGATAACTAAATCAGACATCCAATCAGGTTTGGGGCTCTGTTGTGTTATAAAATCAGCAAATAAACTCTGCCAAAATGCAAATAATAACCCTTACACTGAAGCATGACGAGGTACCTTCAGCTGACTATATAGGCAATCTGACAATGGTTGTCGGGTTCAATTGCAATTCGTACTACAGTTAAGGAGGCATTGCCAGTGTAATGTTCTAGTTATTTGTGAAAAGTAGAACAAAGATACTAATTAACACTACAAATGTTGTATCATTGCACTGGGCTTCTTTCAGTGGTTTTAATGTGTGGATTAGGACTGGGACAGGTTTGTTGGTTTGCTGTTAAACACCACACTCAGCAATAGTCCAGCTATATGATGGCAATCAGTAAATAATCGAGTCTGGACCAGACAATCCAATGATTGACATCATGAGCATCGATCCACACAATTGGGATACGATGACATGCATCAACCAAGTCAGCGAGCCTGACCACCCGATCCCGTTAGTCGCCTCTTACGACAAGCATGGGTTGCTGACCTATTCTACCCCAGATCTTCGCTGGTCTGGGACAGGTACTCAGGTACTTGGGTACTTGGGTCAGGAGGTACTGAGTAGGACCCGGGTACCAACAGTACTACCCAGACCCTTGGTTAGTCATGTATTGTTTAATGACAAAAATGTAAAGAATTCTATGGATACACGATAAGTGACAAATATTCACATTTCTTTCTGACTATGCACGTATTCCTTCTGACTTTATGTTTGCATAAAGATAAAACTTCAGTCAATTTAATTGTATGCATGACCAGATCAGTTTAAATGTGTATCAAAATACATTTTGGTCAAATGTTTCCCAATTGAACATTTTGCACAATTTTCTTGAGATCTACAACCTGTTGGGTTATAGGGGGATGGGTACCCGGGTTGTATATTTGGACTCATCCCAACCCTAGTGTGAATGTAGATGGGTTAAAACCTTGACATTTGTTTGTTTGTTTGTCTAACACCACACTCAGCAATATTCCAGCTATCCTTAACAAAATAAGACACTGATTTGGCTATTAACCAATTAGTAAATGGGTTGGGTTCTATGCCACTTTAAAGTATTTCAATTTTATAATGACTGTCAGCTTCCTGTAGAAGATACGTTCAGAGTACAGTAAGTCATTGACATACAGTGAAACCTGTCTAAACTGGACTTAGGAGGGACCGAAAGTTCCACCCGGTAAAGAGAAGGAAAACACCATCCATGCTAAGCGTAAGGCTTCACACGTACTTGATGTTTGACTGGTTGTTGGTACTGTGGCCATTGGCGAACCCATTAGCCTGTGTTTGATTCCACAAACCATGACTCACAATTGGCGGAAAACGGGACGCGAACATCCACTTGCGGATTCTAGCTGGTATGGCTAAGGATGGAACTCTGCACTGAAAATTGTGGTGTCTTGACAACTCACAAACCATGACTCACAATTGGCGGAAAACGGGACGCGAACATCCACTTGCGGATTCTAGCTGGTATGGCTAAGGATGGAACTCTGCACTGAAAATTGTGGTGTCTTGACAACTGGCAAACCTGGTCCTAGACTAACACTTTGTCCATAAAAGCTTTTCTTCAAGATAATTGTAAAATTTCTGTCAACCTTTCCCGCTCTGCTGTTTTTAAAGTTGAATCAAGGAAAAGTAAAAAGTTGGATCTAGACTTACCTACGCTTTAGTACAATATAATTAAAAAAGTAGAAATTCCAGTCATGGCGCAGGACTACACCGCTAGACTTGCACATGTCTCTAAGGCAATGTTAGTTTCAATAATGATTTCTACATGATATAAATAATAAGAACAAGTTGACACTATAAAAGACTGGCGTCCGCTTATATAGACTTGCCTTTTATAAGAATAGAATTACCATACATCCAAGGTCTTATCATTCAGTACAGACTCGGTGCAAGGCTAGACTACCGGGGCAGCTGACACACCATTATTTGTGTTCTGAGTGACACTTAAACCCGACTAAATCACTGTCAGAAGTTGACTCTTGTAAACTGTTTTAAGCTAGGAAAACAATTGTGTACTGAATTTGTCAGACAAGGAGTCATAGTATATACAGTTCATCTCTATCCTGTCTTGTTTGACACAGACATATTACTTCACAAAGGAAACACAAAAACATATTATCTTCATATCGGACAAAACGGCACAACTGTATTTTACTGTAACACAAGTTCAGCAATGACAACACCAAGATCACGTGTGAAACATGTCCTCATATTGATACAAGATTTATATTAGAAAACACACTATGACAACTAGCACAGTCGTCCCATTAGCCAGATTTACAACTGCCTTAATGCTCTGGTCACTGTTCCAGAAAGTGATCTTTTAGCACTATGACTATCTTAAGCCAGTGTTAAAGTATGGGAGTTACGATCACCTTAGCGCTAAGATGGCTTTGTGGAAAGGGGCCCTGATACGTTTGAGGAATGGGGCCTTGGTACGACCTGATTTTAATCTTAAGAAAAACTCTTAAACTTACAAAAAACTGTTTAATTTTCGTGAACTGCATCAAACCCGTGACAGCTGGGAGTTCAATACATACATCACCATCATGTCTGTTTATTGTTTTAAGGCGTCAACTCAACCCTGGTAGTA